CCAACGGCGTCCAAAGATGAGGGAGCGCGCTTTTATATTATTGCCTATAACCTCTGATGAAAAGAGATCGATAGTGAACAGAGAGGGCTGATCATCGTGACCTGGAAATGAAAAGGAGAAATTCGAATCTGATTATTGACAGTAGGCCATCAATAAGGAGCACGCTGCATTAAGGAGAAGATAAGGCTGGATCGAATGTGGATAGTGAACGCTGACAGGTCTACTGCAGGCCGAGGACCACGAATTTGGCAGAGTCTGATGACTTCTCATGTTTCCCCCAAGGAGTGGAGTGCGTTGATGACGGATAACGGCTGCCAGCGCTGAAGCAACTGTGGGACAATTACAAGGCGAGAGATGCCTCTGAAATTCGGAACCATGGGCGATGACTACTTGATAAGGACCTTGATTAGCAATGCTGGGCCCTTGCGACGTGATCGCTGGATACACGTATCAAGACTCCATACTGGGGAATAAGGAGATGGGGAATCGGAGAATTAGTAGGCCATGATTCAAATGGCGCTAACGCGCTCGACGATAGCAAAAGGGATTAATAGCTCGCCTATCCCGCCAAACAATGCCACATTGTCCTATAATCAGAGCCACAGCGCGGAGAAATCCAGAAAATTCTTTATCTTCACATTCCCAGCTGAAGAACCCGAAAATGAGTCTGAACTGCATGAAAGTGGAGTGGTTTGGCAGTATGAGGATGCATCGCGCCTGGAAGTTGATACATCCGATCCGTGCGGTGCCTGGCAAACCTTATCAGCCACGCGAGATGGTGCTGTGCCACGGATTCAATTGGCTTCGATACTGCCGGCTCTTACCAGGTTTTCGGCGACCTGTGAAGCAAGGGCTGCAACGCACAGACAAAGCTGCAACTACCGTTCCTCGTTAGCCTGTCAGTCTATCACTTGGCAGGGGGTTCAACGGTGTCTCAAGTGACTGATACATGTCGAATCCGAGTCCAGAGGGTCCCCCTCTTGGTTGCCTTGGAGTCCCTGCCCTCTCTCCTAGAGGGCGAACTGACGTACGGAGCAAACACCCCTTCGTGATCTTCAGTATCCCTGGGCTCGGTATCTTCGAAAATGGACATACGGTGCTACCTAGTCCCCTCTTCGAATCCCTGGCTGGCCTGTCATTGGCTCTGCCCTGGAACAGGATGTGATGTATAGACACCGAATGTGCAGCCCCATGCAGATCAGGATACATCCAACGTCCCTAACAACCAGCCCTTCTCCCTACCCAAAAATAGTCCTGTCAGAAAGTACTTAATGAGTTCGTTGGTCTGCAGTTTGCCTCGATTCCAAATACCAACAGCCACGAACTATCAATTACTTGCAGTCATTACCGACCCATACTCTAACCTTGTCTGTGCCCATAATGTCGCTAGAACAAGTGTCAGGTGGAGGCACCGAGGGTGACTTTCAGCACCCCAACGAGAACCTACGTCGGTCAACCATTATTGCACTTTATTTTGCCTTTATTATGTCCACGGTTGCCGTGGCCCTACGCCTTCTCGCGAGAAAGATCACTGGGTCACGGTTGTACTTGGATGACTATCTTATGATAATAGCTTTGGTATGGTCAACGCCTGTATCTTACCTGGGATTTATGCTAACATGTACCTCAAGCTCTTCAAATATGGTTGTTCTATCGGCGTCACAATCCGTAAGTTATCCTCACCCAGAAATGCCCACAATATGTCTAACTCTTACAGTTCTATGGAACGGCCTCGGATGTCACATCAACATGATCCCGCAAAAGAACCTGACGGTTTACTTCAAAGTTCGCGTCTACAAATCCCCTCTCCATGATGATCACTAACCACGAACAGATCGGATGGTCCAATTCCTTCGTTTACACTCTCTGCGTCATGTTCATCAAGCTGTCTATCCTGGCAGTTTACAAGCGGCTGTTTGCTGCTAGGAGCATGAAAATCGCAGCCAACGTCGTTGCCGTAATCGTTGTCCTCTGGGCCGTGAGCATCAGCATCGGCGGTGTTCTGAACTGTGTGCCTGTTCAGAAATTCTGGGATCGCCCGGTCCCGGGGCACTGCGTCAACACCGTGGGCTACTACTACGGCCAGCAGATCCCCAACATTCTCACAGACGTGGTTCTGCTCATCATGCCGCTGAAAAGCGTCTGGGAACTACCCATCTCCAAGACTCAGCGGTTGTTGCTGTCGGGAGTATTCCTGGTCGGAATTCTGTATGATCCCCACTCCAGAAAAAAGCAAAAGGTTGTCTCGTACTAACCTAACTCAGGACCCTGATCTTCGACATTTTGCGCCTGGTCGCAATGATCCAGCTAACACAAGCCGGTCCAGATATCACCTGTGAGTACATAATGGTTCCTCTACCCACACACCAAAGCGCTAATGAATTCCCTAGACAACCAAGTCCCCGTCGTCGTGTGGACATGCATGGAGGCAGCAGTAGGAATCACAGCGGCATGCATGTCTCACATCCGGCCACTGTTCAACGTCAAGCTCTGGTCTCGACTCCGGTACTCGGACCAGGAGCCTGGAAAGGGATCAACCAACTCGTCGGAAGAAGGGTTCTCTTCTTCCGACCGAACCCTCTTTGATCCCTGCGGAACCCAGACTACCATCTCCGCTGGCCATGAGGTGCAAGTTGAGCATGAGAAGCCTTGAGGTAGTTACTTCTAACTACTGCTGTCGAGCAATGTCAAATCCTAGGTCTTATCGTCATGTGTGAGGATCAATATGTTGGTCACGTAATGGCTCTAATCTTTTCTGCATGTCTTTATGTTACGATTGAGGAATCTTTCAATATTCGTGAGATGTATATAGTTAGTGATTTATTAATGCACAATTTATGCCCATATCGTGGTACTTGTTTCGTTGCGTGTTAGTGTCTATAAGCTGAAGGGAAACGACAAGCAAAAAAATGTCGCATTAATTAGCTCCGATTCTAGGATATTCGATGATCGATATGAAAAATTGCCAGTCCACGACCTAGCTCCCAGTTACTCCTGCTTCCTGCCTCCTGACCCCAAATTCTCCTTTCCCCAATGTTTCAACTCCCTACCTTACTTGCAAGTTACCCTGAAGTGGAAGATCCCCCGCTTTAGTTTCATCCGCACCACCCCCTAGCATGAGCGAGCCCCCCCCCAAATCAGACAACCATCACCAGCCACGCTGTCCCTCAACCGCCCTGGCAAAAATAGCACGCACCTCCTTATCACAGAGTTCACCATTAGTGAACCAAGAATAATTCAACGCATCCACAGCACTAATCCTCATCTCAGGCTGTAACTTCAACATCGCCCTGACAAGTTCCATCCCCCGTTCTTCCATACTAGGCATCAGTCCCCACAAGTCCTGCTCCACATACAGTGGGAAATCCGCGCGATATTCAGGCAACCTCGACACACCCCGCCACGAGGTCTCACACGGAGTCCCCATGACCCTGAAAATCTTCTGCAGTTGGTCCTCGTTATTCGATCCGGGGAACAATGCCCGACCCATAGACATCTCCGCGATAATGCATCCGATGGACCAGATGTCGATGCTCGTACTGTAGCTTCGACTCCCTAGTAACACGTCTGGCGCGCGGTACCACAGCGTGACGACCTCATTGGAGAAGGTGTTCACCGGGATGCCGAATGCGCGGGCGAGGCCAAAGTCTGCGAGTTTGAGCTGGCCCTTATGGTTGACCAAGAGGTTTTGGGGTTTGAGATCGCGGTGGAGGATGCGGTTCTCGTGACAGAAGGCGATGCCGCAGACGAGTTGGTTTGCGAAGGATTTGATGACGGAGGGCTCGAGCTGCCCGCCGTTGGTGTCCATGTAGCGCTTTAGGTCTTTGTCCATGTATTCGAAGACGAGCATGAGTCTGTTCTCGGAGTGGATGACATCGTGGAGGCGGAGGATGTTCTCGTGGTGGAGCTCTTTCATGAGAGAGATCTCGCGGATCGCGGTCGAGGGCGTGCCTTCTTCTGTGTCGAGAGCGATTTCTTTGAGTGCCACGAGCTCGCCGGTTTTGGTGTTGCGGCCTTTGAAGACCTATTTCAGGGCTGTTAGGTGGTGGTGGTGGGGGGGATTGATGGTGTGGAGAGTGGGTTGGGGTACCGTGGCATAGGTGCCTTCGCCGAGCTGGGGTGGTTAGCGGTGGTTATGTATGGGTATGTTGCTGGGGGGTTTTGGTGGTTGTAGCGCTTACCTTTTCCAGCTGTTGGAAGGAGTTGGGAGATGTTCGGGTCATGGTGGTGGTGGTGATGGTGAGGGTGTAGCTTCTGCGGAAGTGGTGGGTGATGATGATGATGGTGGTGGAGGATGAGTTTATTGGGGGTCTGCAGTAGTTGAAGGATCGACTGCAGAGAGTCTGACTGTCAGGCACAAACCCCGCCAAGTTTCCCTGCCGATGACATTGCCTGTGCACCGGAAGTTTCCAGGTCGATAAGGTAACTATTGCTAATTCATTAGGCCCACGGGTTGCGGAAGATGCCTGCGGAATGTCATTCATTGGTGGACGGGATCTGGTCGGAGGCCTTAGCTCAGGCTGGGGCGAAGGGGAGTGCTTATGTCGGCTGACAATTCCATAGAGGGTCGAAGTGCTCAAGCTACGTTGTGTATACTAAGAAATTCTACAGCAGGAACAAGTTTGGTGGCATGGTGATATGATAGCAATATACTTGGTTGAAGATCACCGAAATGGATGTCAATCGCCGAATGGGGAGTGGACCTCGGTACTTCCCTTTCGGGTATCGCCATGTCCGATCCAAGGGACAGTACCTTTTCTGATTTCTTATTTTTGGGCGATGGCAAGCCAGTTGCATCATTCGGTGCCGGCAGCGAATTAGGATAGTCGTCTCCATGCGATCGTCTGCATTGTCAGTGGAGAGTGACAATTGAAAGGGCAAGAAGATCTGGAGGCTGAGAGGAAGCGTTGGAGTCGGTCTTCTGTCCGAGCGAGGATCCCCGCATTTGGTCTCCATCTCCAGCTTTGCTCCTCGGCTGCTTCTTTTACCTCCTGTTCTCTCCCCGTGTCTTACTCTTTCTTCTTCTTCTTCCTTCTTCATCTTCTCTTCAATTACTGGTCTTTACTTGGACTTCAATTGCTTCTCTTCTGCCCTAAACCTCTCCACTCTTGCCTGTCTACAACCCCGCATTATGGTCAGCGCCGTTCGCGTCGCCCCTTCGGCCGCCAGCAGAGCCCGCAATCTGCTGCGTACCGTCCAATACACTCATCCTCCATCATGTCCCTGCCATTCCAATCCTAATCACCATCATCACCATCGTTCCCCCACGCTATCCGACCATGTGCGCCGTCATATGGCCACCCCGGTCGACCCCTCCCGTCAAAAGGAATATGCCTTTGAAATGGCCGCCTCCAGCATCCGATTTGGCCCTGGAGCCACGAAAGAAGTTGGCATGGACTTTGCCAACATGAAGGCAAAGCGTGTGTGCATTGTGACGGACGAAAATGTCGCCAAGCTGGATGCCATGAAACAGGCGGTGGAAGGTCTATCGCGTGAGGGGATTGAGTTCACCGTCTTTGACAAGGTCCGGATTGAACCCAAGGATAGCTCGTTCGTCTCCCATTGCATTGTCTTTTATCGATTGCTAGATGCTAATGATAACAGTGTCAAGGAGGCAATTGCATTTGCCAAGCCTTACAACCCTGACGCTTTCCTCGCCGTAGGTGAGTATCATCCCCAAGTCATCCCTTGATCCGGCTAACGGCCCAGGCGGTGGATCGGTCATTGACACCGCCAAATTGATGAATCTCTACACCGTCTTTCCCGATGCCGATTTCCTCGACTTCGTCAATGCGCCACTGGGCAAGGGCTTGCCCGTTAACCGGCCGCTGAAACCTTTGGTCGCTGTGCCGACCACAGCAGGTACTGGTTCGGAGACTACAGGAACTGCCATCTTTGACCTGGTGTCCAAGAAGGCCAAGACTGGTATTGCCCATCGGAACCTGAAGCCGACTCTGGGTATCTGTGATCCAATCAACACACGGACCATGCCGTCGGCGGTCCATGCTTCTTCTGGTCTGGATGTGCTCTGTCATTCGCTGGAGTCATGGACGGCGATTCCTTACAATGAACGGACACCTCGTCCGACTAATCCCATCAATCGCCCCGCGTATCAGGGTGCGAACCCTATCTCCGACATCTTCTCTCTGCAGGCGCTGAAGAGCACTGTCAAGTATCTCCCCCGGGCGGTTAAGGATCCCGATGACTTCGAGGCGCAGTCGCAGATGCTTCTGGCCGCCACGCTGGCTGGTGTTGGGTTCGGAAACGCAGGCGTTCACCTCTGCCACGGCATGAGCTACCCCATTTCCAGCCAGAACCCGGGCTATAAGCATGCTGGCTACTCTGTGGACCACCCTATCATCCCCCACGGTGTGTCGGTGGCAGTGACCGCGCCGGCTGTGTTCCGCTTCACAGCTGCCTCCAACCCAGACCGGCATCTGGCGGCCGCGGAGGCATTCGGAGTAGACATCTCGAACGTCAAGCGCGAAAGCGCTGGTGAAGTCTTGGGTGAGGCACTGGCCAACTTCCTGGTCCGGCTGGGCGATCAGCCCCGTGGTTTGAAGGACCTGGGCTTCAAAGCCGGGGACATTGACTCCCTGGTGGAGGGCACGATTCCACAGCAGCGAGTGCTGGCACTTGCGCCGACGCTAAATAAGGAATTGGAGGCAGAGAGGGCTGAGCTGCGGGGATTGCTCGAAGAGTCACTGGAGTATTAGCTTAAGTGTGTACATAGCCAAATAGTCTGAAATTGCATGATGGTTCAAATGACAGTGACCAGATGCCAAGTGCACTAATCCTGCAGCTTCCCTGCCAGCGTCCCTTCAGATTGTCGATATTCAACTGAACCAAGCCACTAGTCCAATCAGCCGACCTTGTCATGAAGCATATCGCATCCCCGCATTCTCACCCGCATTCCTGCAGCGATCCTCGCCCCTTCCTGCTTATATACCCAACCTCGCCTCCATTGCCGTCAGGGTCTGCTTCGACACGCACTCTGCCCCCCTCATCCCATCCACCCACCCTCACCATGAAACACCACTACAACCCATCCACCTACCTCTCCATCCTCCCCTCCCTTTTCCCCCTCACCATGTCTTACCCCCAACAGCCTCTCCCACAAAACCTCCTCACCACCACAACCTCATCAGTCACCAAAGCCGGCAACCCCGTCTTCCCGGGCTGGTACGCCGACCCAGAAGCACGTCTCTTCAACGCCCAATACTGGATCTACCCAACCTACTCAGCCGACTACAGCGAACAAACCTTCTTCGACGCCTTCAGCTCCCCAGATCTCCTCACTTGGACCAAACACCCCACCATCCTAAACATCACGAATATCCCTTGGTCGACGAACCGTGCCGCTTGGGCCCCGTCCGTGGGCCGGAAACTCCGCTCTTCCGCCAGCGCAGCAGCAGCAGCAGCAGATGAAGAATATGACTATTTCATGTACTTCTCCGTTGGTGACGGAACCGGGATCGGTGTTGCGAAATCAACCACAGGAAAACCTGAGGGGCCATACGAAGACGTCCTTGGTGAACCACTCGTCAATGGCACAGTGTATGGGGCAGAGGCAATCGATGCGCAGATCTTCCAGGATGATGATGATGGCCGGAATTGGTTGTATTTTGGGGGGTGGAGTCATGCGGTTGTTGTGGAGTTGGGGGAGGATATGGTGAGTTTGAAGGGGGAGTATTTGGAGATTACTCCGGAGGGGTATGTTGAGGGGCCGTGGATGTTGAAGAGAAATGGGGTTTATTATTATATGTTTTCGGTTGGGGGGTAAGTAGTAGTCCCTTTTTCTCCAGTGGTCTGTGTGCTAGGGCATGATGGTTGTTTTTCGTTGAGATTTGCTAACGCACTGCTTTGTTGTTGTTGGGATTAGATGGGGTGATAATTCTTACGGAGTCAGTTATGTCACGGCTGATTCTCCGACGGGGCCATTTTCGAGTACGCCGAAGAAGATTCTTCAGGGGAATGATGCGGTGGGGACGAGTACGGGACATAATAGTGTGTTTACTCCTGATGGACAGGATTACTATATCGTTTATCATCGTCGGTATGTTAATGATACGGCTCGGGATCATCGTGTGGTTTGTATAGATCGGATGTATTTTGATGAGGATGGGGAGATATTGCCGGTGAATATCACGGTGGATGGTGTTGAGGGGAGGACATTATCTTAGTTTATAACTACTGATAGGAGTAGATTATTTGGTGGGGAGTGTTGTCGATACGATAGAAAGATTTCTTGTGGCGAGGAATATAATTAGTTGAAGATCCATAACTCACTTGAAGCAGACAGATATCCACGGATGGTTTATGAAAGTGAGCACAGAAGGAAAGCATTCAAGTCATGTGTCACTCGAAATATAAATTGTTGTTATAACCGATCTCTCTTTAACAGGATCTGTATGAAGTCCTTTCCAGTTAACATCATGGCGATATACCCTAGAAGTGATGCAGCATACAAAAGGACAGACAATTTAAGATATCGGCATATAGGTTCAGGTCCTTGACATCTTCCGAGGATCCTCAAGAGAGTCAAACAAGAAAGGCCAAAGGTCAGGTCACAGGGAGCTAATGATCCGGTGAAGTGCCTGGCTACGGTGAATGCCTCTACGAACAAGGTGCGTCTCCACATTATTCTAGCTTCCACCTACTTTCCGGAATGATATGGACCACAGGCAATATCCGTCCGTTTATTTCGTGGCGCGACGCGATTCAGTCGAACCAGCCTGTGAGTCTACTCACAATAGTAACCAGAAGACATGAAGCTGAATAAAACACAGGAACATACCTGACCTAGCCGAGCAAATCCAGCGGAAGGTACACAACCCCAGCAACCTCAGAACAACCAGTATATAAGCCCCAATGCATCCTACTCCGGCAATCCTCTACCAAAACCCAGCCCCAAAAACTTAGCTAGCTCATCCTCAACCTGCACCAAAATGTCCACAGCCGAAATCAAATACCCCCTGGAGGGCAACACACGAATCGAAATCGAGGTGAGCAAAGTACTCGACGACGCCATGATCCCCAACTTCATCTGGGGTCAAGGCGTGCATCTCATGATGGGCATCAAAGATAAATGGGATACACCGGGCTGGGTAGTGCGCGACAAAGACATCCAACTAGCCGCACATGTGTTGAGTTGTACCTTCCACATCGGAAAGCCCTATTCCGCACGCAAGCCCGAGGAAAGAAAGACCCCCACGCCGGGCGAATACTGCTTCGAATACGGAGTGTTCGGGGTGCAAGAGATCCATCTTCACAAGAAGAGTAGTCGATGTCCCAGTTTCCCGGACCCTCCTCTAGATAATCCGGGCAAGAATGACCAGTATTACATGCTCACTTCGGATAGACGTCTACCGGTGTCGCGTATTGTCCAGGTGCGCGATATGCCGGAGGAGAATTACTATCCCGTGAAGATGCCCGTGCCGGCGAGATACGTGGAGAATCTTGTCCTGTTCTGCGCGTGGAATCTGGCTGTGGTGGATATTCCGGATCCTTATTATGATACGTTGGTTTATCTGGCGAGGGGGATGGGTTTGGATAGTACGAATTATTCGTATGTCGAGCCGAAGGAGTTGCAACCGCCGTTTGATCGGTTCATGAAGATACTGGATCTTGATGCTAGTAGGCATGGCGAGGAGGGTCTGAAGAGTGATCTGTGTCATCGCAGGTCTTATCGATTTCTGTGTGAGATTCTTATGGCGTTGAGGAAGATGAGGCAAGTGCAGCGGGATATGGATGAATCGCTGCGCTATTGGCCGCCGATGGAACGGGGGCTGGAAGCTAAATGTGAGGCTATGGATTTGGAATATGAGGATCTGCAGGACCCGGACGAGACGCCCATGCTTCATCATGATTTGGTTGCGGCGTTGGCTAGTAGGAAGTGGAGGTATTCTCCGGTTGAGTGTGCTAGCACGTAGCTTAAATTGACTATGATATACTTGGGAGAACCGCAATGGCTAGCAATAAAATAAAACTCCTTCCCCATCAATAACTCCAACAAAGAAGTATACATCATCCCTAGAACATAGACAATATACCCTAAGAACCTAACCCACTTCTTTCCCCTCCACCAAATCCCACACCGCAACCCTAGCCCCATCCCCCTTTCCACCCCGTCCACTACTACTACTACTACTTCTAAACCACCCCTCCCCAATCTTCCTCCCCGCAAACCCCATCGCCGCATCCCTAACAACACTCCACTCCAACACACTCCCCTTCCCCAGAACCTCATTCCCATTCTCATCATCCCTCTTAATCGCCTCCACCGCCCCCCTCACCCAAGAAACACAATTCCACCCTTCCTCTCCACCCTCCTCCTCTCCTCCTCCCACCGGAACCTCCCTCAATATCTCAACCAATCTCTCCCGATCCACCACCTTCCCAATAAGCACCCGTACCAGAACCATCGTGTCGAGAGCGGTGCTGCGCTCTTCGAAGGTCCATTTGAATACCATCCCTGTCCCGGTGGGGGTGGGGAGTTCTCGCACGTGGTAGGTCGTTCCAACGATGCTACGTTTGGTTTTTGGGAAGCGGTGCTGCTGCTTGTCTTTGGGGAGGATGGTTAGGGACCAGTGATACCTATTTAAATAATCAATTATTTGTTTATGTATGTGTTTGGGGGGTAGTTAGTTAGTGGGGGAAAGGGGAATGTGTGCTGGGGCTGGCTGGGCTAACTCACGTATCTTCTTTGTCGGGCATCTTGGGACGGACACCGCCTCCGCGGGCGTGGAGGGAGATGTAGAGGCGGGGTTTGTTGGATGATTTCATCGAGTTAGAGTGTATGAGAGGGGAGGTAGTGGAGGGTGGATTGTTGAATGAGAGGTGGGTGGGACTAGGTTTTGTGGAAGGTTTGATATCACATGGATACTCCCTTGTCATCTAAGGCTGGGAGTAGCCGCCAGCCTTGTTTGGGTTTGTGGGTTTACCAGTAGATCTCTGTTTGATATGAGTTGGTGTTTTGTGTGTGAATTGATGGTTGGTTGAGGTATTTCTACTTTACTGCAGCCTGTGTGGCTATCACCGTAGGGTATTCTTTATAGAAAATGAATGCAATGTTACTGAATCCCATCACCCGTACCTATCGAAGTAAATTTTTAAGTGAAAGAAGCGAAGTCCGAGCACAAAAAGGACAAATCTATGTACAAGAAGAAATGCAAGCTGGGTATCAAAAACATGTACAGGAAGAAAATCATAACTAAAACATCGAACTCCTTTTCTTGCTCAGCTTCGCCTCATCAGCTGATGAACGTCGTAATCGAAAGAAACTACTTTTCTTAGGCTGTAATGCCGGTGACGATGCCGCCGGTCCTGGTGTCTCCGCTGGCAAGGCAAATCTCACGGCTGATTGGCGCCGCGGGTCCAAGCCCGGGGCAGTCATGTACGGGCCTGCCTGTGGCCGTTGACGACCGTCTTGATAAGGATAAGAGTAATGGGGCTGGTTGGCCGGTCGTAAGGGGAGGGTTTGTCCGGGCTGCTGGGGACGAGGAGGCAGCGATGGTGTCTGTCTGTGTCTGCGTACTTGGTCTTCTTCCTGTCCGTAGAGCATCTGGAGACGGCGAGTTTCCCGATCGATTTCGGCTTGTCGCTCTGCCTTGCGTCTGCGACGCGCCTTTTCCTCTTCTTCGAGCAGTTGCTGGGTGCGTCGCTCTTCTTCGCGTTGGCGGTTGGATTTAGTGGGCGGCTGTTGTGGTGGTTGTGTTTGTGGTTGCGGTTGCGGTTGGGGCTCGGGCCTTGGTTGGACGGCGTTTAATGCCCCTGATGCTGCTGGGACAGAGGGTAGGGGCTTGGAGTTTGTCTTGGTCGGGGAGGGTGTACTCGACATGTGGGCGGGTTTGGTGACATGGAATGCGTCTTTCATCGAAGTAAAGTATACGTCGCGGATGGTAATTGCGCCAAGGAGGAGAACAACTTCGAGGCCTTTAAAGTCTTCCATCTCCACGCGGTAGAGGTTCGGTTCATAAAGGGTGAGTTCGCGGAGGCCCTTGAAGATGGATACGGTGATATCGGGCTCTTTGCTTTTCGTCTTGGATTCGGGAATTGTGGTCGTCTTTCCGGACAGGAGACAGGTCAGGTCTTTGGACAGTTTGCTGTCCTTGCGCCAGGTGAAGCGCAGTTTCGGGGTGGTATCAGCAGAAGCCGGGTCAGGGTGGGTGCGGTCGAGGGTAGATGCGGAGGGCTGTCGGAAGCTGTGTTGGGGCATCTCGAAGGTCCATGTCGCAGGGCTGTTCCAGGTTTTGGGCTTGAAGTGCACCGTCACTTGCTGGTCGGGGTTGTAGAGGTTGATGGTGAAGCGGGAAGGAAGAATAGGTTCTGGCGGAGGCGGAACGCCGCCATTCTGGCGGATAGCCTCCGCAGAGAGACTAGGTTGAGTCCATTCCGGGATGATCAGGACCTCGCCGAAGAGGATGTCGGAGACGTAGGGGTCATAGAGGGCGGAGGCATAGCGGTTCTGTGAGGAAGGGGAGGAAGGATCCGGGTAGCGGAGGGAGTAGACAGGTTCCGGATCGTTTCCGTGCTGGCAGAGATAGATGCTCCAAAGCTTGGATTGCTTGTTGTGCTTGAGATAGAAGGCTGCTCGGATTAGCAAGCGACGTCAACTAGGGGGAGTGGAGTCAAGGAGTGATGCTAAAGACATACTGGGAAGGTTCTCGTCTAGCATTTTTAGATCTGGGTCGGGATGGATTAATTCAACGGGAATCTCTGCGCGACCCGTGGTCCGAATGCCATTGGGTTCGTCTTATAAGAAATGCGAGGCGAGATGCACGAAAGAAAGGACGATCCAAAGAAGAAAGAAAGACGTCGAGGAATGAGGCCTAGTGGTGCCTCAGGCAGGATAACAAGTACGGGGCACTGCCCCACCGCTATAAATAACACCCTCTTCCAGGTACCGCCCGGTATTGCCATGTGCCTTGGCAGGCAATTTAGCTGGGGAGATCCATTGCGGTACGGAAAAGTACCAACGATCAGCGTACCCAGCAGTATTGGAGTGTACTGTAGGCAGCCATCATCGGATGGTTTGCAGTTTCATATGGTATGCAGACCCCATTCAAGGGTCCCAATCATGAAGGATCTCCGGTGGTGACGAAGCTGCCGATCTCCGGACTATCTCTTAGTCGGTCAAGTCGCACTGCCTCTTTTCGAGCTTCTCTCGCAAAAGAAAAGAGTAAGCCTTGCAGGCAGATATTTTTCGTGCCTTGATATGCAGCGTATCTATTCAACTTCAATCATCTGGATTGCTACATGGGCCCGGGAGCAAGCAAGCAAGCAAGGCACAGCAATCCACTTTAGACAACCATACTCGACCATCAATGGGACTCGTCTTTGCTTCGCCTGTATAACACAGACTACTAGACCCCAGCACCACGATGAGGTGCGAGTCCATGCTGGGGGCCTGGAATCCGTTAGCCAAGCGGATAACGCTGACGTACCTCTGTATGGTGACGCGTGGGCAGTCATCGAATGCTCTTGGCTATTAGTATGATGCTTCGGAATCTGGAGGTTTGGATGCATATACCGATTGTTTGTTGTTCGGTTTTGTGGTGTGACGTGGAGCCGTATGTGGTGGACACGCGTGATTTCGAACGTGAGCTCGCAATGCAGTTACTATATGCATGATTGTGAGAGACCTACTAGGAACATAGTGCTGGTTAATCGGTGATGCGCGTTGATGTTGTCTGTGGGTTCGGAGAATTCGAAGGAAGCGTATCGATAATATATGGCAGCCAGTATGGTCAGTAAGCAATGTCGGTAGATTACCCGGCATGTCTTTATGAGATACAAGCCCTGTATATGCATTAGAAGAATCGAATTGTCTTTGAAAAGCCATCCATTCATTCGAATGAATGCTATGCGATCACCGTTCTTATAGATCTACCTGCAGTCGATCACCTATCCACCTCATTGCAGCTTTCAACAAGGAGCATTGTTTCGTGATTCAGGGTAAAGAGAGCAAGACAAAGAGCAATGTGGTCAACTCATAATCCAATGCTTCAGATCTTTGATCTAAACCCGTATATCGGCATCTCCACATCACGCTCTATACTCTACAAAGAACTGACAACAAGGGAATCTATACTCGAACACCATCCACCTCTGTACCTTCCGGCACCTTGGCCGCCTCCCGCTCGGCAATACTCAGCTGCAAACCTTGGTCGTCCCATCCCTGAGTACCTTTCTCGTACAGCGTCTTCTGCTGCTCGCGGTCTGGCATGGGTCCAGACTTCCCTCGTCGCTCACGCGATTCAATCGTCTCCACCAGAGATGCATTGTCTCCGTCTAGCTCATACCCCTCGAGGTCATCTGAGTGAACTTCCTTTGTGAATTCGTACGTCCGGTACTCGGTGTTGACCCATCCGGTTCCTATTTCATCGTTAGCCTTTGTCTACACTTGACACATGCAGTCTTTCAAAAGACATACCCTGGTACTGGCTGCTATCCTCCCAATCCTCGGTGAAGTAATGCAGGAAACCTCCGTGGGTGACAATCACGATCTCCTTCTCCGGTCTCGCCTTCAGCCAGCGGCGGGCTGCCCGCGCCCGCTCCTTGATGGCCTTGTGAGTAGGTGCATATTTGCCTTGCTATATGGTTGTACCACGCCACTGGTCAGCGAACCGAACCTATCGTCACTTGGGTAAACGAACAAACCCACCTTATTGTTCCAACCATCATGCACCAAACCCAAATCAATCGGGACGTTCTTCTCCTCCATCTCCTTGCGTAGCACCTCTGGGTCGCTTCCCGTGTCGCAAGCGACGTCACTCGTTTCCTGGGCATCAGGAAGAGCGATCAGCTTCATGTCTGGGTGTGACTGGAACACGGGCTCGAAGCTCTGCAGGGCAGTGTAGATAGTGCGACGGAGCGGGGAGGCCGTGACGAGGTCGACCTGAGTGTGGCGAGGGAAGCTATCGCGGAGTTTACGACATTGTTCGTTGCCGAGATCGGTGAGAAGGGGGTCGGGGATGACGTGGTTGGCGACACAGAGGTTGTGCTCGCCCTGAGAGAAATTGTTAGCGACCGCGTCGGTCGGGGAGAGAACTGCGGATATATAGGCGTACCTGTGCGTGACGGACGCAGTGGATAATGGGAGGCATTGTGTTGGTTGCGGCGACTGTAGACTTGGGGAGGCGAGTTAGCAGGAAGAAGAGCGAAAGGGCCGGAGGAGTCGAGGAAGGGAAGAATGGAGCACAAACGTGGGGTAGCGGGGCTCGGTGATGGACAGGGTGCAAGCTGCAGTCCTTTAGCGTCTGTCGAACGGGACTCCGTGCACGATATTGTTCCTCGAGGGATTCTGTTAAGGCTGTTGAGGAGAGACGGTCGGTTTATATGGGTCCCGCGAAGAAGGGCCGTCCCAAGACGTCTGCCAATCCAAGCGGACCACTGCACACCGTGTCGCCCAACTGGTCAAATCCCTCCATCGCCATGACTCAAATGGGGGGCGAAGCCATCCGGAGCAGTGATTCCTTGCCCAGACCCGAGGGGTCCGGTCAGCGGGCTGATCACATGGAGATCAAAGATTTCAAGGAGAAAACAGGAAAGAGACAACTGGGTCTCTGATGGTATTCCAGAGATAACAAGGAGGGAAGAGCGAACGGAAGTCGAACTTGGCTGTGGCTGTTGTTCCTCAATACGGGCTTCCCGGCAAACTTGCCCGACCGCGACCACGACTATATCCACCACGCAACTCGAGCGAATATTATCACCATCTACAATCTATCTAATGAATTTCGGGGAAGAACGACCGCTTCGGACTTAAATTCGTCCATTTGCCAGATGTGGCACCGGCCACAATCGGACTAATACTATCTATGTAGAATTGGGTATGTCAAGCACGGCATATACAGCAAAGGGTATGTCCATTCCAAAAAACCGAGACCATCCAAACCAGTCCCCGAAATCAAGCAACGCCAAAGCCCCGGGCGTTCTCCAACGCCTTGCTCAACTTTTCCTCTAGGACACTACGGGAGGAGTATTCCGGCAACAGGAGGCGTCCGAAGCAGGTCAGACTCGTGGGAAGGCGCTGCAACAATCAGTACTTTGCTCTGCAACATGGAAGGCGACATCACTTACAGCATCTCCTACTCCGTTCTTCTGAATCACAAACATGATGCTCGCAATCCCATTAACCGGTACCCGATCGCTGGCAGTGACAAACTCCAACAGCTGCGCCTTCTTCTCGGCTGGGTACCGCCGTACAACACTCCAGAAGTCCCTGATCACCCGGTGGCTGGGGTCAAACCCACCCTCATACCGTGCGTGGCGCTCCAACTCCCGGATGTCAATGGTCTGGATTCCCTCGACCACAGTCTTCAGTGCCTCCGGTGTGAAAATGGAGAGGGCCGTCCGGTCGAGGCAGGTGTAGAACCCCTGAGCAAACGCCTCGAATTGAGGCCGGACAGACTTATCCGTTAGCCAGAAGATGTAGTCCTTGACGAACTGGGCACGGTTGCTGTTGGTCACCAAGCTGGCCTCGTCGGCGGGGGGTGTTGGCGACTGGGCTGGGACAAGCGTGTCAATCGGTTTCGTGGCTTCCCCGTACGAGCCAGCTGTCTCTGCAGCCATCGAAGACGGGGGGCTGAGGTCGGCGTGATCAGCAAAATGGCGGACCTCTGACCATGGAGGCGAGTACCCAAGGGACCGCGACCCGCTCCTGGCACGGGATGGCATGGACGACACAGGCCAGGGAGCATCTTTGTCCACCCTTTGCATGTCGACTGTTTCTACAGCCCCAAAGGCCTCGAAGCTAAATTCGTAAGTCCGCATAAATATGTCGCCCACATCCCCATCCTCCCATGTAAGCAGATCCCCCAATCCCTTGCTAAGTTCTGGCCACCCGTCCTGGATGTGCTCTAGGTGCTTCACCTTGAGTCCGAGTAGCTTGCGGTAAAAGGCAGTCGGGAAGTTAACCGGGAGCGTGAGACCATTATACACAGCCAGAGACATAAGGAGTCCAAGCAGTTCGAACTTGTACAAGGGCTCCCACGAACAAGGCTGGAACCATGAGATCCGCGTCCGCGCGTCCGTCGTGAACATGCCAAAAGATGGATCCAGTGCCTCTGCCATCAGAACTCGGAAGAATTCCTGTTGAACACCACCGTGGTCAAGACCCTCCTCACCTTCATCCATACCCATTTGTACCTTCAGTGGCCGCATAAGCTCCCGTCTTTCGCGGCGCCAGAGCTGATTGAGAGCATCTATAAGAATATTGTCGCGCCGGACCATCAGCACTAGATATGTAGACATCGACGTCTTTAACTGTGCGAGTAACCCGACATCATCCTGAACCTGGATGGGGCCAAAGGCCGTTTGTGTCACGTGTCTTGTCGTAGTCATAGCGGCTTCGTAGTACTTGGACATGGCCGCGTAGTTGAGAGCTCGGAAATAGATCACCAACGCTGACGGAGGGAAAAGAAAAGGGTAGGACAATAGATGCATTGTCTTGTTGTTCGGAAGGCTACCCATCCACTCCACAGGCATGTCCAAAGGTTCCAACCTGTCGGAGAGAAACGGGGTGTGGAAGTCTTCGGGTACCAAGCCCAAACGACTGCGCTCCTTGTACAATAATGACAGAATCTGAACGGCACCTCCAGCCGAACTGCTTTTCGACAGTTGCGGGTTACCATCCCATTCTTTGAGGAGAAGGGTGCGAAGCCATTCAGCAATGAAAGCAGGCGCGCCAGGAGGGGGAGTATGATCCAGGTCGCCAATGGCCGCTGTCATAGCCCCGTAATGCTCGCTGAGGTTGTTCACAATCAGATCCAGAACGCTGTTCTTACGCTGTTTTGGCAAGTCACGGGAGTACACCTGTCGCGCTTTTGATATTTCGTGGAACGCCAATCGTGCTGTGAGAGCGCGTACTAAGCGATCAAGTAGCCGAAGGGCCAGCTCATGTTCAAGCATATCAGTTGTTTCTACCACAAGACGGGCCCGGGGTATCGACAGCTTTTGCATGTCCGAACTCGAAGATACGCCCCCGGCCGCGCGCATTCGGAGAATCGCTCGCCATGTCGGTGCATCTATCTCGGGAAGAGAGCTAGCCAGGGCAAAAATGGCGAGTGTAGCAACATCAGCAGCATTGGCATCAGTGAAGTACTCATTGCCCTCCGAATCGGATCGACGAATGATCGGTGCGCTGGGTGCGGCGTTCGTCGAGTTGCTCGACGAACGGCGTGAGAGTTTACCTGACATCGAAAGCTCCTTTGGTGGGATGAATAGTGTCTCCGTAGCGCCCCAGAGACTGTGAAAGACAATATCCCGGGGGCAGAGGCGGAGTAACTTACGGAGCGATGGCTGTAATTGTTGGAGATCAAGCTTAGGCTTGGAGTGGCCCTCATTCATTCCAGTCGGGCCGGCCGATTTCTGGCGGAATGAGAGAAGGAGTTGCTTGGTATTCCCCAGTGCATAGAAGACGCTCTGTGAAACGAAGGAAAACACTTCACGCTGACGGGGAGTCGCAAAGCGCCACTCTGACTCCTCGAAGCTCCCGGTGGATTCCATGTACGTCAGCTCGTCCTTCCACAGTTCTGCCTCGTCCTCAGAGAGTATCATCATTTGCGTCATGCCGTCAATTATTTCGTCCGTCAAATGGGATAAGGATTGGATGCTTGAAATGGATTTGTTCTGACTCGAGCTCCGGCGCTTCGGTTTCCGGGCACTAGGAGACTCTGTTTCCGGAGGAGGTTGTTCGTCGCTCTGAGGCTCGGGCTTCTCGGATTCGTCGAGCAGGACGTTGTTGAGATACTTCGCGCCATCCCATGAAACACGTCGCCCTTTCTTCGGCTGCTCCTGCGGAAGGGGATAGTTTCCGTCTGCTGTTCTCCCCCGATGTTTCTGCGGACGATGCCGTAGGGCGGGTGGCGAAGGTACATTGTGTGTTTCATCGCCATTGACGTGTGTGTTCACAGTGAGCTTGCGGGCGGGTTTCAGCTCCTGATATGATTTCTCCTCCAAACTAGTGCGTGGATTCTGGCGCCATTGGTCCACGTCCGTGAGCGACAGTCGCTTGACCTGCTGGTTAGGAAGCTTCAACTCCAACGCAGCCAGCTGACCATTCCCATGGCGCGATGAGGGGGTTTGGGGAGCCGCAGTTGCAGACACAGTATGTTGGGGTGTTCGTTGTCGAGTTAGATTTGGCCTAGGTTTATCCGAATATGGCTGTGTTCCATCGCACTCCGGCTTTGGTGATTGAGATTCGGTACGGGTGTCTATGCGATCTGAATCCGGACCGAGCGAACTTGGAGAGCGTCGTAGAGGTAACCATTCTATCATCCTCAGCGATAAGGTATCGAATAAGTTCTGAGTGAACGACTTCGGGTCTTTCATTCGTTGTGTTGCAGGTGTCTCCTCCGGTATAACCGCCGTCAGGTCCTGGGATTCCACACATGGAGACAAACTTCGACCATTTCGATCATTAAAGCTGGAAGAATGTACGTTCCGAACCGGCGATGGCCTTAGCACCCCATCCAGGCCAGTATGGTCCCCGCTCCGTGACTCAGTACGTTCTCTCGCTGGCTCGTTCGAAGGCAAGGTACGGTTCCGTCGTTTCGATCGGCGTTGATATTCCTGGGGTGAAAGCTCACAAGGAACCCGAGAGAGATTGCGACACAAACCGTCCTCCGCGTTATCCAAGCTCGCCAAGTAGCAAGCCAGTGTGCGGGCGCTCAGCTCAGTATACCGACGAAATGGTCCCTCCGTCACGCGTTTCCGATAGCTAGCGCAAGTTGGCGTCTGGCAGCCAGGATCTTGACAGCCGTAGAGGAGTTGATTCTTATACCTAAAAGCGTTCCCGTCAGCGGGGCCAGCGCACGCACGGCGTCATAAGACGTTACCTGCGGACCAGAAGGTTGAACTGGCGACGGCGTTCATCTCGGCACCATAGAAGAACCTGCGCGGGATCCGAGACGTCCACGGTATTTTGAGCGATCACGTCGGGGGCGTTGGGAGGTAGTTTGGAGCGGTGAAACTGGGGTCGGTCGATGCCTCCATGCGAAACCTCATACGAGCTCACGGAAGCTCCGCGGAGCCTGGTCATCTTGACAGACTGCGGAGCATGCCGCAGCTAGCGATCGAGGAAAGACAGTGGCTTGACAAAGCACTCTCTTTGTTTGTAGGTCTGCGCAGTGAAGATAGGGGTCAAACTCGAGGCGAAGATGGCTATGTGACTCGTTATGTCCGGGGTCTGGGGGGTCTTGCGAGGCTGATATCACGAGCATTTGGGGGGGAGGGCCTCAGGCGCCAAGACCAGCTCGGGTGATGAGTCAGCTGGTGGGTACACCAAGAAATACACTAGTCCCTATCCGGATAGTCCGTTCTTGCTTGTGATCACTTGTTACGTACCCTCCAAGTCGAATCTCCCTTCAAGATATTATTAGCTTTGGTGGGCCCTGTTGTACAACAGATTTAGAGAAGGGCTTTTTTGTCACTATAGAGTAGACTACAACAAGACAAATATTGCCGGTGATGCAAGGGGGGCACCTACGCAAGACGAGTCCGCTATTGACTAATTTGATAAAGGAAAACGCCCGCCATAGATCCTTACAGGTCCTTGGTTACATGAGTGACACACCAGGATTCATAGTATGTGGTTTCATACTAATTGTACTGAAGTGAAACCCCAGGCCTATGCTTTATAGATCCCAAAAGTTGCTAATCACTAACACTTGCTCAAGTCCTGTAAAGGGTGCTCTGCGTGGACAAAAAGAAAAAGCCATATGGAGCGTGCGTGATAAACATTCTTCATTCTTCAATCCATCAAGCATACAATTCATCAAAGGAAGTTGAACCTAGGTACTGTAATAATAGGACACCTCTGCATTCGCATCATAACATGGGGAAAACCTCGAGAGGATAAAAACCCATGTTGAGGCATCTGACCACAAACGCAACGCATCTAGCTACTAGGAATCGTAGCATTGTGACTCTGGAGATATTCCTGGCACTTCTCTGTCGTGTTGTTGAATTGCCTGGTCCACTTGAAGTCGACTTGGCTAGTAATAATGTCGGCAGACACGGTACCCGATCCAGTCAATTCAGTTGGACTGCAGAACCACTCCATAGCATGAATCTCAACATATCCATCCACATGGGTAGGCGAGTAGTTGTACCAACCGCCAACCCGACTCAGTTCAGCCCACGCATTATTGATGAACCACATCCACGTCTTGAACCGGTATACCTTCTGGTAGAGATAAGCAGTCGTTTTGGGTGGAACGGTGATCTCAGTAGTATAGGTCTTGCTGTTGGTCGTCTCGGTCTGGGAAAATGTCTTGGTAGAAGCTCCAATTCCAACACTGAGACCTTGGAATTCGAGACCAAGGTTTGCATTCAGTTCCTTCTCAGTGCCAACAGTCACCTTCAGCTCGGTAGTATATGACACCGTGATCTTGTTCTCGCCGGTACCCCCATTTTTGTGAGACGTAACCTGGTTCCAGTAATATCCATCAGAGTTGATATTGGTGATTGCTTTTAAGCTTTGGCCTGAATCTCCCGGGTCATCGTAGAGGGTCTTCTGGACCTCGCCGACCAGAGGAGTACCGTTGACTGTATACTCGCGGTGGTCGTAGCCGGTTCCGGATCTCCAGGGGATGTCAGGCATTTTGTGCTGTATAATAATGATTAGCAAGATAGTTGGAGCTTAGGAAATTTGTCCACCTACAATGAAGTCGTGTGACAAATGTCTTTGTTGTTTTCGTTAAGATGGTCGAAGAAAAGGATTTGCTTAAGAGGACTGAAACAGAAGATTTTGCGATGCTATGGAAGTGAGTCTACAATCACCAGGGCAATTTGGGATATTTATGTCTAACATATCGGCAGCCCTCCTCATGATTGTCGGACCTCAGCAGCCATAGCTCCGCGTCCCCCAAGGCTTCCATCATCTTCAGCTCTTCTTACTACTTACTTCGGTGACTCCGACTCAAAGCCCGATGACCCCACGACACTGTCAGGGATAGACAACCTCATGATCGATTTCCTATTCCTACCTGGTTGCACTATTCACAGCCCAAATCCCGAAGACTAGCATGACTGTGTAGCAGGTACAACTGATTACCTTGGTGATTGTAACCTGGGACTGCGTTTTCTGTAGCCGAGATCCCGATGTCTCCGCAGCAATATCAGCGATGCAGATACCCCGGCCCTTTGATGCACATGACCTGCCATTATATTGTTGGAGGTGGTAAGTTGGCCCTCGTCGCACGATTTGCCCTAATTGCACTAATGCAGGTGCGGTGTTAGGAAGCCGCTTAGGGACTTCAAAGCATTTACCCGATGGCCACTATTTACCGCCGTAGTGATGCACTAAATCTCTGGGGCATATACTAACCACTAACTAGAGCGTAGAGCTGACCGTCTCCGCTTCCGGGCTGATCGGAATCATTTCTCCAATCACTATGGATATTGGATAACCACGGACCCCGATCATTAAATTAAACGCCTGTGCGGCTGTAGGAGGGGTTGTCTGAAGTCCATGCGAGGTGTATACAGCCCAGACAGGCACCAAGAGCAGAAACGGCATGTGCTATAAATCATCCCATAGTGTTCAACATGGTTTTATTCATTTATTTATTTTACTATTATCATTTTTTCGTAATGCATATAATGTGGCATGTCACGTCGAGTGGCCTATACATGTCGACGTGGATTAATGCTTTTCTACTTCTGGTGACAGGAGATCGATTGTCAGCTGCCTGATTCGGGCATAATAGTATGTATGTTTTCTAAAATACTAGTTCTCATGGGATCTGCATCCATTATATTAGCTGGTATTGATAAAATGATGTAGACGACTTCAACGTCAGCTCCCAGGGACGGAAGGTAGTCTTCGGTGCTTTATCTCTTTATGGAAACGTGTTGTTGTGGCGAGTCATCTGGTGCCATAGGAGCATCGCAACCCTGGTCTCGAGAATGGGTGGAGAAGATCGGGATTTGGATCTATATTCATATGTCTATCACATACATTAGCTTGGCCGGGGGGTTGGGGGAAGATCGAACCCGCAGTACTCTGTCCATGGTAGTATAGTAGGAGCCTGGACTCGAGTAGATGTCTGCCGGCTGGACTTGTCTTCAGCATATGGTCTTCCAAACCCCACCTGGTCGAAGAAAAATCACGCAGAGAGACCTGGCAAGAATCCATTGAGACTGTGGTGGGTGAGAACGTGATGCCTATACCTAAAGCCGTATCATGGCTTCCCCGTCTTAGAAAGGCAGTTGTGAGAGGAGGACAATATAGATGGTGGCGTGTCTGTTACATAGTCGCCGGAAGTTGAATGGCAATTGGCTCATATTATCCGGTATTGATGTTCTGAATGAAGTAACACTGAACCACCCCCAGGCTGGCCTTGTCAAGCACTGTAAGCTTCTTTCATTCATTACTCGGTACACATAGTGGGATATTGTGCCCACACAGTGCAGATACCTCATGTGTTTGGATTCTCGCTCATTAGCATTACTCTGGTGGTATGCTCAGATCATTGCCATTCTTTGAGGTCGGAGAAAACATATCAGAAGTAGTCGATGTCAACATTGCTAAGAATAGATCAACATTGAGAAAAGCGAGTAGAAAAAGAAGGGTCTATCAGAAGTAGACCTTCAACAATTCTCTCCCCTTGATAGATGGATAGCCAATTCGGATACCTCCATCCAAGACTGCACTTATCCAACTTACCACCCTCACCCACCTACCTAGGCCCCTCAATCACCATCTTAATCCCTTCTCCCCGTTTAGCAGCCTCCCACGCCTCCGTCGCCTCCTCAAACGGAAACACCCTCGATATGAAACTCTCGAGCACCACCCTCCCCCTCCTCACAAGATCCACTCCCAAGTCAAAATCCCCAGCTCCATACCGAAAACACCCCTTGGCCACAACCTCCTTCTCACACATCTCCGCAATAGGAAACTCCATCATCCTCTTCCCCATCCCAGCCTGCACATACGTGCCCCCCTTCTTCAGCACAAACACCCCCGTCTGCACCGCCATCTCTGCCCCGACGCATCAATCACGACATCTGCACCACCAATAACCCTCAATCTGCCCTCATTCAATATCCTCTCAACATTCCCCTCCACCCCCAAATCCCGATCCATGACCACCCCCCTGCCCACCTCTCCCCAACAAACCCCCGCGCAAATCCCAATCTCCCCTCCACCACATCCACAGACACCACAACACTAGCCCCAAACTCCCTCGCCACTGCCGCGCAAAATAACCCCACAGTGCCTGCCCCAAATACCACGACCTTCTGTCCAGGCCTCACATTAGCAAGTCTCACAGCGTGGACAGCTACAGCCAACGGTTCAATCAACACCGCTTCTTCTAACTTAATACACTCAGGTACCTTGTAGCAGAAGTCTGCAGGGATGCGGAAATACTTGGTCAACGTGCCGTGCACGAATGGCGGGTCCGCCGCGAACTTCATCTCCGGGCAGAGATTGTAGCGCCCGCTTTTGCAGGAGGTGCAGCGTCGACAGGGATAGCCTGGCTCGATGGAGACTTTGTCGCCGGGCTGGAGGGTGGTTACAGCGGTGCCGATGGTGTGGATGATTCCAGACGCTTCGTGGCCCATTGTTAGGGGGCGGGCGGAAGAGACGTATGTGCGGATGCCGCCGTGGAGCCAGAAGTGGACCTGATAGTGTGGGTGAGTATGATTTGAGGAATGTATGGAAAAAAATGGGATGGATGGAGCTTACATCGCTGCCGCAGACGCCGGTGTATGCTATGAGGACATCGTGGGGGTTGTGTTCGAGGGTGGGAAGTGGACGGTCTTCAAAGCGTGCGTCGAGTGGGCCATGGAGGACGCAGGATGGGTTACGAGTGCTGGAGTTCATGGTAGTTTAACTTGTGTCTGTCTTAAATCTGGGTGAATCTTGGTATGCAGTTAGGTTGGAGTCAGGTCAAAATTGTTGGTCAATGGCATTCTTGGCAGTCTATGACCCCGCTTGAGATGTTCATATACATGCTTTTCATAAAGTGTCGGCGCTCTGTCGGCCGAGGACAGATAAGTGGATGGTAAGACTGACGTTCGTTGAGGCGCCGTCGGGGCAGGTATCCAGCGGCTGGCCGTGCTCCGATAGTCTGATAGTAGACTGATATCCTCTCTGCTTTGGTAAGTCTTGTTCTGCTTTTTTTGTTGTTTTTCATATGATACTTCTCTTCCCTGTTAAAGGGTGTCATAAAATCCAGTCCAAGTAATACCCATTATCTACCATTCACATTTGCCAGTCCTCTGCATTGTCAGCGACCAGTGCAGCTCCTGAAACATAATCAAACGCTTCAACTTCGTTCGTATTCGGAAACCCCTCGAGTCCTTCAAAGATATCCATATCAAATGACGTCGCATCAAAAAGCATCTGAAGGGAAGGGTCAACAGCAAGTGTATCGAGACGCGTGCCCGTGCTATTATACTCCATTGGTAACTGTGCCGTTCCCGGGACATCGCCCACTGCAGTAGGCGTAGCTTGCGACTGATACATAATCCGGTCAAGAACTTCCAAGCACCGCGCTGCAGCCTGGTTCTTCTGGCTTAATTTTGCGAGGCAGCCGCGCGATCTCTCGATGGAAGATATCCAGAGCTCGTGATTTGCCGCCGCCAAGCTTTTATCCAAAGGCTCCTTTGGTCGGAGATGATAGATGCTGAGAACGACGGATGCCTGGAAGAGGAAGTATGTCACGTACCAGCATAGGCCGAAATGTAGCGTATCCGGATAGTCAACACAGAAGGTAGTGATATCCTGGATACACTCTACGGCGGCATAGTGGCACATGTTTCGGGCTTCTTCGCTGTCTGACGGAGAACCCCATATACGCTGAGTTCCCCACCATAGCATCATTCGCAGGTTTTGTTCCTTCCAGCTGACTATTGCTCGAGGTCCGCGGAACCATGTTGGGACATCGTGGGCCGTGAAGTAGAGCGGCAGTGAGAGTCTCCAGGCCTTGAGCTGATGATCGAGTGATCGTGGGGTCTTCATATCTAGGTCCTTCTTTGGACCTGCTATCACGTTACAGAATACGGTGTTTCCGATGCGTGATAATCGAGCCTGTGCTATTATCGCGGAGTATGTAGTTGGTTTGTCGATGGGGAGTGGGACTATAGAATCTAATGGGTAAGTCTGATGGTGATCAGTTAGCTACGACTTTCGTCTCTTTGTTTTAGCATGAAATCAGTTACCGAGTCTTCGATATTGCGAGGGAGTTGGGTTTCGATGAAACAGTCCGACAACATCAGGGGCCTTCCTGTAGTCAGACTAAATCCGCTGTCAAATGAGTAAACAATCCACCACACGACTCTTCTTCTTTCGCTACTCAAGGTGTCGTGCGTCGATTCCCTCATTGGTTCACGATGGAGGCCCAGTCCAAGAGCCATTCGATATGCTATTCCAATGAAGTTGTATCCGGTATTTGGTCGATCCCGTTTCTGGAGAAAATTCCCCTGTGCCATTTAGCATTGAAACAAGCTTGCGGTATACACCGACGCGGATCAAGCTGACCAACCATCAAGAGGAACGCTTGAACTGTGAGAAGTGCACCCGACTCCAGCAGACTTATTGACATACGTGATCGTGCAGCCATGTAAAATCTGGACTCCTCTACTTTGGAGCCACCGGATATCACCCAGTCACCGATTGCCAGAACGACATAGAAAATCAAGTGCCATGTGGAGTGAGGTGGGGTATGATGGCGGTTCTGGTACTTCTCTCTGAACGTCTTTTCATGTAGAATGGGAAATGATTTGTTATACCACCCGAAATAGGCGTCCAATAGAGAGTCCGTGAGGATAGAGTTATCAAGTTCCCTCAGAATGTGCGGACTCGCTAATTTGGTCGAGTTTGCAGGGTGTTGTCCTCTTCGGGTAACCAAAGGAGCAGGATGCTTGGGTAGTAAATCTGAGATGGTTTCCAGTATACATGACCCAGATGAGTTTCCTAAAAAACCACCATCAATCTCATTCATGAAAAGATCCTCAGGCCACTTACCTAAGTAACCGGATCCGGACCCTTCGGTTGGCAGTGATACCATTCCATCGAGAGATTTGTTTGGCGGATGAGACGAGGTCATTAGACCCTCGTTCCATTCAAAGTTCTCTAATGGGGTGGGACTCTTCTCACCAGGGCTTACACCTAGCAAGCTGTTGTGGTCGGTTTCATTAGTATCATGCCCCTGTCCGGCCCCTGCTAATTCTTTCAGTGCTTCTTCGATGTCGATGTTCGGACCCAAGTTTCGGACAAGGGTCATCAACTTCTCACAAAGCTGCTCCTTCTCTTCAAGGTTCCTACGTATATACTGAGAATATGTTTCTATGGTACACAGGAGTCTACACTCACTTGCGAGTTAACGGTGTCCGTGATGGTACACGCTCGAAGCGACATCGTTTTTGAGTCCTCGAGCAGTAAGAGCATGGGGCTGTTCCAGAACACTTGGCAGTATACTATTAGTATAAAAATAGCTAGCAGTTCCTAGATTAGCCCTCAGGGCCATACCTTGCTCTTTCGTCGCTTGGAGCATGTCAGAAGTGTATTAGCCACCTGGGATAGCCGTTAGGTATATGTTGGGTTCATTCTTACCCGGCACTCCACACACTACTCGCCGTTAGTCCAACGACAGGCCTCCTGCCAATGTAAAAGACTTACTGCCCGAAGCTCCTGTGTCTCTGATTTTAGTCTCGTCCGTTTTGCCATGCTGGTGATTGATTTGTGGCAGAACTGCGTTACATCAACATAAGGTTTATGCTCTAGTTAGTGATCGTTGTGGTCGGCCCGCAGTCGTCCGAAGACCCCGCTGGATCATACACGCAAGTTAACTTCTGATCTAGAGATGTCAAAGACGCGGTTTCTAGGAGCTTATTTCGATGCTTTAAGACATGCAAATGGGGTCCATCCTGATATCTCACATTAGTAGAAAGTGCCCTTCACTCTGTTGACGTCTGGTTAGCCTTGCATAGCCCTGGGAGATCAATGTGAAGTACTCCCAGATGCGGATCTTTGGCAATTCAACTCGCCGGTCCATCTATGGATATCTGACACCTAGCTTGCTCAAGAATGCTCTAATAACTACTCGCTCTCTTGACTAGCAAACCTCAGATACTAAGCGTCGCAGTCAGCCTTTCATTGAGAGGCCCGAGCCGTGCAGTTGCAACGTGATTGGCCGAAATCGTGGCGCTCAATCGAGAGGATAAAGAAGTCGTCCACGGTGCGTCAGCACTAGCGATAGTGGCCGTTGCTCTGGCATCATGCGATCGGGGAAGAGTGTTTTATTTCCTGATTACATCCAGCTCAACAGAGTAGATTGATATTTCAAAGTCACTGGGAGTTATTGCTGTTAGATTAGCGCCGTGCAACGCCGCAGAGTTACTGCTACTAGATTTCAGACGTTAGGAATCAGTCCAATGACAGCCCGTGGGCTTACGCATGGAAAGCACGAAGGATTCACTAAACCTGCCCCCAGTAAGAACCCCATGAGATCCAGGGGTTTAAAAGGCGCAACTGCCCAGCCTGGCACTTATTCAAAACTTTCCGAGCTACCTATCTGCAACACCATTTCCGACACCGTGTTGTCCGGCACGGTCGCATAGCGCAAGGAGCTCGTCTCCGCTTCATCGATATCTTCGTGTTTAGCAGCTCCGGTCGGAAGTCGCCGGGATTCAATCGGCCTGCGTGTACAGCTCGCAGCGGTGCACACAACATGGAGGCCAACTCTCCCAGCTTCGCGTCGCCGCTCGCTAGCGTTCGAGCCAGCAACTTGCACATTCCCTCCCAATTCGAGGGTGTCGTTGATGCCATCAGCAATGCGAGCCCGTGGACTATTGCCTTTACCATTCTCGCAGTTCTTGTCGCTTATGACCAAAGTATGTCTTTTGACTGTTGATTATGATTCACTCGATCGGTCCTAAAATGGTTTGCCTTTCAGTCATGTACCTCATAAATAAAGGCAACATCGTGGGCCCAGCTTTCAAAATACCCTTTATTGGACCGTTCTTGGAATCGGTCAACCCCAAATTCGAGGAATATTATGCCAAATGGAAAAGTGGCCCGCTCAGTTGCGTGTCCGTCTTTCACAAGTTCGTTCCCCTGGCGCATACAGATCGTTAGCATAAACCAGACTAACAAATCCCGGTCCAGGTTCGTCGTGATTGCCTCAACCCGTGATTTGGCTAGGAAAGTGTTCAACTCCCCGACCTACGTGAAACCCTGCGTTGTGGATGTCGCCCATAAGCTTCTGGGAAAGGAGAACTTTGTCTTTATGGATGGGAAACCACATGTGGATTTCCGCAAGGGCCTCAACGGTCTTTTCACAAGGAAGGCACTGCAGTCTTATCTTCCTGGCCAGGAGGGTGTCTACAATCAGTACTTCGAGCGCTTCCTTGGCATCACGCAAAAAGCCGGCGGCAAACCAGTGCCCTTTATGCCCGAGTTTCGCGAATTGATGTGCGCCGTATCGCTCCGCACATTCTGCGGCTATTATATTTCGGACGAGGCTGTGAAGAAAATTTCTGATGACTATTATCTGATAACAGAGGCAATGGAGCTGGTTAACTTTCCTATTATTCTGCCTTTCACAAAGGCATGGTATGGTAAGAAGGCGAGTGATATGGTCATGGCCGAGTTTTGCCAGGCTAGTGCGAAGAGCAAGGTCTGTATGGCAGCCGGCAAAGAACCCACTTGCATTATGGACGCGTGGGTCAAGAATATCCTGGCCTCAAAACAATGGGTTGAAGCAGAAGCCAAGGGAATGCCAATGGAGGGCATGGAAAAGCCATCTCCTCTGCTACGTGACTTCGCCGATTGGGAGATCGCTCAGACAGTGCTCGCATTTTTGTTCGCTTCCCAGGATGCTACCAGCAGCGCAGCCACCTGGCTCTTTCAGACGATGGCACAGCGCCCCGACGTGCTCGATCGAGTGCGTGAGGAAAATTATCAGGTCCGTAACGGTAACGTCCATGCTGAGGTTGACTTGGACCAACTGGAGTCCATGACCTATACCCGTGCAGTCGTCAGGGAGCTTCTGCGGTACCGACCTCCCGTGATCATGGTGCCTTATATGGCGAAGAAGCCGTTCCCAATTACCGATTCCTACACAGTTCCAAAGGGTGAGCTATATGATATGGAATATTAATTTTAGCTGAAGCTTACTGGTGACAGGAGCCATGGTTATCCCCACCACATACCTTGCCCTCCGGGACGAGGAGGTATACGAGAATCCTGACGAATTCAATCCTGAGCGTTATTATACCGGGGATGCTGAGGAGAAGGGAAAGAATAACTATCTCGTGTTTGGAACGGGTCCACATGTGTGCATTGGACAGCACTATGCGCAGCTCAATCTGGTGCTTCTCATCGGCAAAGCCTCGTTGCTGCTGGACTGGAAGCACCACCCGACCCCACTATCAGAGGAGATCAAGGTTTTTGCAACCATATTTCCCAAGGTAAGTGACCAGTGAGAAATCCAAAGTTGCAAGTACTAACTGTCGGTCAGGATGACTGCCCGTTGACATTTCATGAGAGGAAGTGGTAAGGTTAAGTGGTGGGATAAAGAGGGGCGGTTGCTTACTGCCGTTTGACTCGTTTGTACAGGACTCACAATGCTTATATACATACATTGAGTGTCAGCTTAATATTTCGACTGTCTAATCCACGACATTCTGTTTTTCCCGATTGTTTTTCTACTGTTCACAGATAATGAAGACGTTGTTGGATTTGTCCCATATGCCCATATCATTGGCTCCTAGACCGTGCCCAAGAACTGGTACCGTAACACTTTCAATTAACTGCTGCGGGTTTAAACCCCAGACACGTTCATGATATTCTCAGATCTTCGTTATATAGTCCTTTTATCGAATTTCAATAGCACTCCGTTATGCAAATACCCCAAACTCCCAACAAACGACTAGAATACCAGGCCTCCACCTATCCACCGAACAATCTTCGTTAGCTACTATGCTACAACACCTTCTTTATCAGAAGAACAAACAGGAAACAACATACCATCGACCACAATATCCACCCCATTCAAATAACTCCCTCCAACATCACTGCACAAAAGCACCACCGGCCCCGTCAACTCCTGCGGTGACCCCATACGCCGCATGGGATTCCGATCAGCCCATACCGCACGATGACCTGACAGCTGTTCCCCCTCATTCAGAACCGTATCCATATACCCGGGCGAGATGGAGTTGACGTGAATGCCATACTGCGCCCATTCAGCGGCGAGACAGTTCTTCATATGAAGGATACTGGCTTTGGAGATATTGTATGCTAACTGTGGCTGGGGGTAGTTAACACGGTGGCCGCTGATGGAGGCAATGAAGACGATTTTGCCGCCTGTTTTACGGGTGATCATGTGTCTGGTTTGGGGTTATTATGAGTGGATAGAAGTGCAAGTCTAAGTGGGCTTACCTGGCAACTGTCTGCGCTATGACCCAGCTTCCTGTTGCGTTTACGTCTTGCATTCTCTTGTAATCTTCCAGGGACATGTCGATTGACGGGACGCAGTTGACTATCCCTGCGAAGCAGCATAAAATCCTCGGATCGCCTAGACGGTCTATGGCTGATTGGACTGCGGATTGGACTTCTGCTTCGATGGTCACGTTGCAGGGTATGGTTACGATGTTGGCGTTGGGGAAATCATGCTGTACGGCTGAGATGTGCTCTTTGCTCTTTGTGAGGGAGGTAGGTAGGTCTAGGAGAGCTAGGCCTTGTAGACCGTGTTCAAGGAGTGCTCGTGCTGATGTGAGTGCTAGAGCGCCAGCGCCGCCGGTGACTATACATTGTCTTAGTCCAGTCGCCTTTCTTCTCTACTAATAAAGAGAAAGAGATGGCGAGATGAAATGACATACAGATGGCATTGCCCTTCACTGCGAATCTCTGTCTCGCGTTGTCGGCTGCACTGTTACTCGACGGGAAAGGCGCAGGGGGTGGCGTGAGAGACGACTGAGGGTCAAGCTCTCCTAGTTGCATCCAAGGGATTGCAGGGGTATCTGAGTTGGATCCCATAGTGATTATAGTGAAGTCTTATTCTATTTTGTAACTAAGTGATGAGTGGAGCCCAGGTTATTGAGATTTAACGACGTCGACTAAAGACGATGAGTGTGGGGTGAACATTCGATAACTCGGTTCTGAGTGTCAACTCAAAAAGCGCAATCATGCGCGGTGGTTCTAGGGTGTTTTCCTTTAACCATTAGGGTGTCTGCTGAACCTACTGGTTCTCGGCGACCTGTCGACCGATGGGGTTTGGGGTGGAGTGCAGATGCACCGGGCTAAGCCCCGAGTGGGAAGATTGAATGCGGGGACTCCGGCGGGATGCGGAGGTTGTCCGATTATGTCCGAATGGGCCACCAATGCAATGCTTCGGTTGTCTGTTGCCCGAGATCACTTCTGCCTTCTGTTTTCTCGATGGGATGAAGTCAACAGGCTCGTCATGAATGGTTAGGAGCTTGGACGGGACGGAGTCTGAACCAGATGATCAAAGATGGAATCAAAGCGCCAATATGAATTGAATGTTGGTTGACGCTTGTGTACTAAACCGACCCCGGATAGAACTTCATTGGTTCGAGGACCAGGTCGGACCACAGTTACCCGAACAGGTATATCATGATGATTGAGATCGACTCCTGGCTCCTTCTAAGGGAGTGGGGCAACCAGGTTCAGATTTCAAAGGACCAGTATTTGTTGGTGGAACCCCGCCATATCTGGTCGCGTGAAGTGAAAGAAGAGAAGCAGCAACCATCAAGGTAGATACCGTTCCAAGGAAAATATCTTAAAAGGGTACGGGGTACCTTCCAGTCTTATAATTGTCAAGCTTCAACTTTCGATACTTTCCCTTGGACCAATATTAAGTTCTTTTCATTTGCTGCGGTTGTCAACTATCACCTCTGTTCAACATGTCTATGAGCGTAGCTGAGTGTGCCCCAGTCCGTGAGGGATACCCTCGCCCGTTCCCAAACACACCAACAAATGTGTTGGCGCAGATGCGTCTGAGCGGAAAGGTTGTCGTGATCACAGGAGCTGCAGATGGTATCGGATACGCAGTGGCTGAAGCCATGGCTGAGGCTAATGCCGATATTGCCATGTGGTACAACTCGTAAGCTATGCCTTTTCTAGCATCGGAAACAAGATTCCACATCTAACATAGTCACGATAGCAATGATGCAGCCGTCGCGAAAGCGCAGGCACTGGCTTCTACTCATGGGATTAGAGCTACTGCTTACAAGGTCGACGGTGGGCATTACCTGTCATTCGTTGTGAAAGGCTTGGAATTCTGATAAGCCCAGTTTCGGATGCGGATGCCGTTCAACAAGCAATTGCAGATGTCGCCAAAGACTTTGGCAAGATCGATGTGTTTATCGCAAACGCCGGTAGGATGCAATTTTTGTCGCACAGTGCATTACATCGCTAACATTCTAAACAGGAATGGCTATTTCCAAGCCTCTTCTGGAGCAAACACTGGAAGAGTATCGGAAGCAGATGTCGGTGAACGGTAAGATGCTTCCTCTTTTGCTGTAGACTAGATACTGATCACGGTATACAGTCGATGGCGTTCTCTACTGCGCCAAATATGTTGGGGAGGTGTTCAAACAACAAGGCTTCGGTAACCTGATCATCACCTCTAGCATGAGTGGCCACATTGTCAATGTCCCCGTTGATCAACCCGTCTACAATGGCAGCAAGGCCTTTGTGACGCACTTAGGAAAATCACTTGCTCGCGAGTGGAGAGAGTTTGCCCGTGTTAACATTGTCTCTCCTGGCTTTTTCGATACCAAGATGGGTGCCAGTCCGCAAACGGTCAACGAAGCCTACCGGATGGCGCCGCTTGGGAGACAGGGCCATGTGAAGGAGATCAAGGGATTGTATTTGTATCTCGCCAGTGACGCGTCTACATTCATGACTGGCAGTGATGTACTCATCGATGGTGGTTACGTGCTACCATGAGTCAATCATGCTGTCACTTTGCTGCAGATGCTAACAGTGTGTTTTTCAACCTGGATGCCATGTGATAGATTAGTATTAGCTGGTGCTCCACAATGTTTGAGATATTAGAGAAATAGTATATTTCGGCCGGACCATGACTTACTACCACTACAAGTTTCGAATAGCAGAAGGCCGTCGGATTGCTTTAACGTCCCCTAAGCCACACTATAGGCTCTACTAGAGCTTTTAGAATAATTCACCAAGCTACTTTTGGAGACAAATCTCATTTTCAAACAGACAAAAGAGAAGACAAAAGAAGAACTCGTCGGCCGCCTGTGCATAAAATGTTATAGTGACTAATACAGCACTAGTAGGGTGGATAATGTGTGGGCACGTGCATTGAACGTCATTGGGCCCAAAGCGGCAAGGCGGCGCAAATCTCGGTGATTATCAATAATTAATTCTGCTCCGGCGCTGAGGGGCAACAATTGAAGACTCATCCCGACTCATCCACTCTTCCCTATCTCATTTACCTTCACTCGCTCGTGTGGATTGATCTCTTCCACCCATATAATTATTTACAAGTGTCTACTGGGATAGCCACTTGTTCTCCGATACCCAGCGGTCTCAGCATTCGAGATTGTGCCCCGCTTCGTCCATCCCACAATCATTTAACGACCTCTACACGACGCTTTCTTTCATCGTGATACCCCTGCGTTGTTTCGTCGATATTATTCAAGATGGACGGCCCTGCATCTTCCCTCCCCTACACCTGCAACACCTGCCTTGTCGCTTTCCGCGGCAGCGATGCGCAGCGGGTGCACATGCGCACAGACTGGCAGTAAGTTTCTTCATATAACCACTGGATAAGCCTACAGGAACTGACCACGTCTGCACTAGCTTGTATAACATGAAGCGTCGCATTGCCTCTCTTCCCCCCGTGTCCCAGGAAACCTTCAACGAAAAGGTTCTTGCCGCCAAAGCCACCACCACTGCCGCTGCCGCCAAGGCATCCTTCGAGACGACCTGCGTCGCTTGCCAGAAGACCTTCTACAGCGAGAACTCCTACCAGAACCACATCAAGAGCTCTAAGCACAAGGCTCGTGAGGCCCGCATGAGCCGGGAAAATGCCGACGAGTCCTCCTCCGTCATGAGCTCCACCTTCTCCCTGGGAGAACCCATCAACAAGCCCCGCGTCGGAGAGTCCGAGGTTAACAAGGTCGCCGAGACCCTCAAGGATGCTACCATCAAGGAGGAGAGCAATGAAGACGAGGAGATGTCTGATGATGGGTTCTTTGCGTCTCGTTGTCTCTTCTGTCTGCAGAAGTCGGAGAATGTTGAAGAAAACACCGAGCACATGTTCAAGACCCACGGCATGTTCATTCCCGAGAAGGACTACCTTGTTGACCTTGAGGGTCTTCTCCACTACCTGTGGCGCAAGATCAACGAGAACAGCGAATGTACCTACTGCCATATGATCCGCAACACCCCTGAAGGCATTCGCACCCACATGAAGGACAAGGGCCACTGCATGATCGCTTTCGAGTCTGAGGCCGAGCAGATTGAGATTGGCCAGTACTACGACTTCCGCAGCACCTACTCAGACGACGAAGAGTGGGAGTCCACCGGCAGCGAGACACATGAGGAAGGAGGCGTCAAGGTTGACGGCGAAGACGAGGGATGGGAGACAGACGCCTCATCCATGGACGAGGACGAGGACGACCTCGACAACCGTAAGCGCGCGCCCGTCGTCTACGCCACCGACTACGAGCTGCATCTGCCCTCCGGTCGCAGCGTCGGTCACCGCTCCCTTGCCAAATACTACCGCCAGAACCTGCACAACTACCCCACCGCAGAAGAGCGTGCCGAGCGCCAACTTGCCATCGAGAACGGCGAGATCGAGGAAGAGGAGCCGAAGCCTCGTGGCCGCAACCTTAACCGTGCGCTTATCACCCGTGCCAATGGCGGTACTGGTATGATTGGAACGACGGATTCCCAGAAGAGGGACGTGATGATCAGCGAGCGCAAGGAACGCCAGAGAGCCATGCGACAAGAGCAGCGCTTCACGGCACGGGTCAACCGGCAAGCCAACCACCAGAAACACTTCAGAGTAAGCTTACCACTCAAGACTGTTTTGACTTTCATGATACTAATCCGATGGTACAGGATCCTCTCCTGCAATGATCTCGTACATTTCGTCTTCTCGCATCGTATGTTGATGAGTCTATGAATCATTTCAGGCTATTTGTTTCTTGGGTTTAGTTTCTGCATTGCCGTGCTGCTGGCATCGTCTTGTTTATGGAGTTGTGGTTGGGGTCCATGCACATGCTTTATGATAAAAGTAGGGTGAATAAATAGAGATGATTCTGGATATACTTGACCTAGAAGATGACTACGTAGTAGCGGATCTCCAAGTAAAACAAATAGCCAATTTACGGATACTCTGAAAGATAACAATCGACAGAAAAAAAAAAAAAAAAAAAAAAAAAAAAAAATTTTGGATTGTATGCAAAAAAGGATACGAAAGTAAAAAGAAATATCGTGCATCATCCGTGAATCGAACACGGGCCTCATCGATGGCAACGATGAATTCTACCACTAGACCAATGATGCTAGTTGATGCATTGCTCTAGCATATTAGCGCTATATAAGTGCTCCCAGACTATCGAAGCAACCAGTCTTATAAAGAACTACAGTTACAGTTCGCATGACAGAGATCATATTACCTTTCCCAGACTAGGCCAGTTGTGATAGTGCTTATACAGTTCTTTATTTCTCTCGCTTTCCATCTCTTATCCTGTTCTTATTCTAGACCAGTGGGCTAGATTAATTGATTAACTAATGCTCATGTAAATACCTGCTTCTAGGTAACCCTTGGGTGATGATAAGTAAAGAGAATCACTAATTAGTGCATTCGTCAACTATAACCTAGTGCGTCCTACCCCAAAGAAAGTAAAACGGGGGGCCAGCGCAATGTTTCCAGATTGTGACTGTGATATCAATTGATGGCAATTTTACAACATGCCTAACACGGATTATATACCGTAGGCAAGGGAGACGTCTATACCTGAACAGTATTTGAGATGATCAGGATGTTGCGGACAAGGTCGAGAATTGATTTGTTAACTACTTTGTTTGTACTTGAATAAATCAAGGGGTTAGTAATTCAGTAGATACCTCATACCTTGCCACTTGGTATATGTATGGGACTTGGCTGTGCCGGTGGCTGCTCTGTCCTCTCTAGTAGTAAGTAGTACTTAATTACTTAGTTGGTTTTAATCCACTGGGTTGCTTGCTGGGCTATTCATATTCGGAGCATAGTAGAAAAGAAATGCACCGTATATATGCTGATACTGTACTTAGCTTTTGTACTAATCATGAATAGCGCAGAAAAATGTCTGTACAATACAGCCGTTGCAATACCCTTTTGACGCTAACATATGTATTCAAACGCTTTCCATTCTTGCCATAAAGTGACACACTAACTTAGTATTTGACATCCCTCATGCTTTTTCAGATCAAGCTAGGCACCCATCTACTCTGTTTGCAGCTGCCGCTCATCGAACTTTCTCAGCCCATCGTCCCCAGTCTTGCCCAAGGTGTTGACGCGCCAGAGCGCAACAGCCTTCATATATCCTGTCACACTCCTCCTCAAACGCAATATCAAGTTCCACAGATGATGGTGGACTTGCCAACACCTTCCTTGCTACATCCATTCCAGGACATTCGGAGCGATATCGCGCAGAGGTGGCATGCCATAAGTTGAATCCCGGGATGACATGTGTAATCGCTCTCGCTATTGCTCTGACATTAGGAGTCGTAGACGCAGTGGCTATCAGCCGCTCTGCCTCTGACATGTACTTTCGCTCGTATTGTAGCGCCTTCTGACGACATATGGTGAGAGCTGGTTCTAAATCACAGCCGAGTTCTGTCATGATAGCCCATACTGTATTATTAGGAGGTAAACTGCAAAACTGTTTACTATGGGCTTGAGATTCCTCCGCCCAGCTGTAAACGTCGTTCCAGAGAATCATTGCGAGAGCCAGTACAACTAAACTGAAATGCAAAGTTTGAGACTCTTCCCGAGATAACTCGATGCCATGAATATAGGGAATTATTGAGAAGAGTAGGCTAGCCATATTATATTTGGCGATCAGCAATACTCGACCCTACATGCGCAGTGACCGATCATGCGTTTGTGATGTGCAAACTTACACTGAACCAAAGTCATAATAGCGAATCGGTAGAAACTCGCAAAATGTGTGCACATCCGCCCGAGGGGCCAATCTGAACTTTTTCAGCGAAACCGAATACTGCGAATAGGCTTGAATTAAGGAGTCCCCTTGAGGACCACTCGTGCACTTGATATCTTTGAACATCTTCGGTTGCATCACACGCAGTCCGCTTTTGGTGCATTTCCTGGCTACCTCACTGTGGGCGGACGATATGCTGACATCTATTCCGTCATTATTGTCGTCTAACGCTGCCATTCATTTAGCTTCCCACTCATCCTCATTTTTACTTTGGCCAAAGACGGGCAGCAACCTTACCGTCTGCTGCTAGTATCAAGTCATGTACATTGGCGATACCCTTGATGCGTTCGGGACGTGCTTCAGGGTAAAGGAGTGTTACCAGATGCCCATGTGTAGTAGGGCAGAGGAGTGAACGGAAGTCTCGAGTGACAGTAGGCAGATCATTCATCGTCCATTCTTCGACAAACTCATTGGTCGCCTCCATTGCCAAATCCTCGTACACGCTGGCCCGACTAGGAGCTGGTGCTCCACAAGGATATAATGGAGGCAGCATGGCTATGTATGTCTTTGAGTACTGATAATCTGACATTTTCTTATCTTTTTCTTCTTCTTCTTCTTCTTCTTCTTCTTCTTCTTCTTTTTTCCTTTTCTTTTTTCTGTTTGTCTAGGGGAATCAAGTAATCGGCTTTCTCCGTTCTGCTTGCAGTAATGAATATTGAGAGTGATTTTGGAGAAGCTGACATGATATATGTAGCGAAGTCGACCACAAGTTAGTCAGTCAAGGGTCGCTACTCTGTAGATTGGGAGTCGATGTAGGGGGTTCATGTAAGGAGTATTGCGATGTAGTATTCGGATACGATAATGGCCTAGTCATGCTGTCGCTTCACTCGCATCAGTGCTATCGGACTGTGTTACGTATAAAGTCAGTTTTTTTTTTTTTTTTTTTTTTTTTTCCCAAAGCAAGTAAGTCACACAAGACGTGAACCACACCTTTATGGGATAGTACGCCCAGAATCCAGTCTGGGACAATCCTGGGCAAGTGGAGTGTTTTCCATACTTTTGTGTTAACATAATAAGAAACTGATATAGGCAATAACGATAAGCCATATACGTATGCTGATATGCCATGGTTGCGGTGTTCTATCCTCCCAAACACTCACTCCAACTGTCCTAATCCTCCTGCTGACCATGTCATCCAATGTCATCCAACATATTTGACTCTTCACCTGATTGGACTGGACTCTTGTTGACTCCTATCGTCTTCTCTTAGGCAAAATTTTTACATCCTTTTGTACAACATTCTGGCGGTTGAGCTCTCAGCAGTGTTTCCCTGAGGTAGTTATTCAGTATGATTAAGCCGCATCTTCACTTCCAGGACAACAACCCATGCTGCTAAGAGCTGACGGGCTGTCGTCGATATGAAATATCCAAAGACGTTAAGCGTCTTTTTTTTTTTCTTCAATACACCATACTTTCTCGCCTAGATACTCATGACTCTTGCATAGATATCCTGTATATATCGTTTGTTGCATAACACTGACTTTCTAGTAAGAAAATACCTGATCATATAGATAAATCAAGTTCGTAGGCCGCAATACGAGCATTCTTGACATGGATAGATTATAGGATGATCTTTAAAAGAAAAAAATGTCACGATGCATGAAATCCTTGAATTCCTATCCTTATCCAAGGATTTCCGCTATACTACAGACGATTATGGATCATGTGTTCTGTGTTTATGCATGGTCTGACACGGTAGGCTTTCATGTTGGGTATGGAGTAGTCTGGTCTACTATAGTACTTATTAAGTTCCGGGGATATGGTCCGTATGATTATATGGCAGCCACTATTAGTAGCATTTAAGTAGTAGAAGTGTGCATACTATTGCTGGATAACCTGGGGTTTCAGGGAGGCTAAGTATGCTCCAGCTAGAGAGAGGACTTACTACACGGATACTGAATTCTGCGTTATCTGTGAAAGCAAGTAGGGGCAAGATAGGGTCGGTGTTACATTTTATGCAAGGACCTATCAGGTGAATGCCATTCCTTAAGAGATATACTACTGAACACGAATCTCATCTACACCGCCAGACCCCTCAATGCAACGACAAGTGTCAAGCGACCAGGTATTGGCACGCAGGGTCGGCTATGCATGGAAAATGAATATATGGTGGAAAGGAAAGAAATACATCGGTTCTTCGGGAGCATGTGCATCACACACGACCAGCTGTTCGGTCGTACTTGTGTACCGGCTAAATTTTGCAACGTAACAAAAACAACTATCCACATGTCGCCCTGTCGCTCTGGCCAGCAGAACACTCGGAGCGTCTGAAATTATCTTGGTTATTGCGACAGTAGAGGGGTATTTTCGCCCGACTCCCCGTTCTTCGGGCCTTGTCCGCGCTTTCTGCGACGACGGCGTCTCTTATTTCCGGCGGACTGATTATTCCCCAGGTCGACGATCTCGCCTTCCTGGCGGACAGGGAACTCCGGATTTTCGCTCGTTCTCGGTCGTTCAGATTCAGATGAGCTGGTGCTTGTGGTATGGAGCACAACCTTGCGGATGCCGTTGACATCGACCACCTGCTCTGTGATGCTACCACTGCGAGCCGGGCCTCGGTGAAGGTAACTGCCCGGCTTGAGATGCTCGGACTGCGAGTCGATGGACCGGGCACTGCCGGTTCGACTGCCCGCTGACCGAGGGTGATCATCCTGTTCTTCATGGACCGGTTCGGGTATCGATATCGGGAGACCATCCTTCGTCTGAGTACCGGCATCGGCCGGCGGATTGGAGTGGTTCATCGTGCCATATCCCGCACGGACCGCATACACCCCATCACGGGCGTCCATACCACTCTGTACAAGTCCGGCGCCAATACCGCCCTGCAGGCCGATGGAATTATGTCTAGGTTGTACATCGGACATACTCTGGCTGGATTCAAGATCGGTCTGTCCGGATCGGGATGGCGAGGCACTCCGTTTGATCTTCACATTTTGGTATCGAGTTTGGCGCGGTCGACTGGCCAAGTTTGATGGACCCAGGTGCTTCAAATGCTGTCTGATCTCATCCGTGGCCCCGCGATGCGTGAACAAGCCGTCTGTCGAGTCTGAGTTCTTATCTGAGGTAGGCCGACGGAGCTGGAACCGGGGCAAGGGTGCCTCTACGGAAAGCCGGCGATGGTCTTTCGGGGCCCCATTGGGCGGAGCAGGGGACTCGTTGTCCACCTCGACTAGAGTGGTCTCAGCTGGAAGCATGGGCGGATCTTCGACAATCCGGCCCTTGGGAACGCGGGACTTGGGAGCAGGAGCCATGCGGCGGATGGCCTTGTGTACATCCACGAAGACATCGGACTCGTCGATGATTTCCCTACAAAATGTCAGCATTGTTCGGTCCTTTGGGGCTTGTCTGGTACGTACTCTCCGATGAGCTCCTCAATCACATCTTCCAGGGTGACCACACCCAAGGCGCCACGATCCTCACTCGGATACTCCGACACCAATACCATGTGGGACTTGCCCTCTTGGAAGAAGTTGACAATATCCAGGCAGCTTGTCTCCGGGCGGGTCTCGGGTAGCGTGGCCAGAGCAAAGTCCCGCACGCGCTTGCAATCTTCAGGGTCATAGGTGATCAACATTTTGACCAAGAGCATGCCGACAAAGTTCATCGGGTTGTCCGGAGCGTGAATAGGAATACGAGAGTATCCTTGCGACAGAATCAAGTCCATGGTGTTTTCGTCTAGGATGGTGTCGGCGGACATGGTGAAGACGTCTTCCATTGGGGTCATGATGCTGCCCACTGCCTTGTCCTTGAGGTCAAGAACAGCGCTGATGATGGTGACTTCATCGGAGTTGAGCTGTTCACCGGCTTCACCCAAGGTTTTGTGCAGCGTCACCAGGGTCTTGAGACCGGCCTTCTTGTAGATGGTGCCGTGATCCTCACCCAACAGCTTATCGAGCAGCTTCGCGACCGGGTAGGCGACGGGAGACATGAGGTACATGAGCGCTAGGACACATGGAGCCATCCAAGCACCAATGGGGAGACCGTAACGGACACATATCGACTGGGGGACGATTTCGCCGAAAATGACTAGACGCGACAGAGGGAATTGATGGTAAGCAAGGATGCGAAGGCCAAGAAGAGGGATTTTTGGGACATACCAATCAAGACGGTACTGCCGAGCACCGCAGGCCAGCCACCGCCAAGTGAGCGGTCGAGCACGATTGGAAGCGTCTCGTTGGTGATCACATTGCTGAGCAGCAGGGTGACGAGGACCCAGTGCTTTCCTCGCTGCAACAGCTTCAGGACACTTGCGGCATTTTTGCGTTCGGAGCCTTCACCGGAGGTCTGAATGACTTGTAGGTAGACTTCGTCCTGTCCCATCAAGGCGATGGTCAGACCAGCGAAGGCACCGCCGCTGAGAACGAGGGCGGCGGCGACCCCTAGGTACAGCCATAGACTAGGGTCACTGGGGGGTTTCGGGTCGACATCGGAGTTGATGATAAAAGTTGGGGCGGCGGAGATGACGGGCAGGTTGGCAACAGCCAAGAAGCAGAGCTTTGCTAAACCAAGGACGAGAGGCCGGGCGGCCAGGATACGTGTGGCAGAGGATATAGCCATCACCGAAGGGCAATGGAAGGAGGGTGGGAAAAGAAAGAAAGAAAAGAAAGAAAAGACAAGAAAGGCCCGAAGGCTACCAGAGGGGCATATTTGAGGAAAGAGACGACAAGAGAAGAGAGAAAGGGTACGTACGAATTGGGGGGCGGCGAGCGGCTAAGCTGAATCGGGGGCGGGAAAGCAGAGAAAGATGGATGGAAACGACGAAGTGGTAACCACTCCGAGTAAAGGTTCTGCTGCTGCTGCTTTGCTTAGTAGTAGTGGCTGGCGGCGTAATCGGAACAATTGATCAGTGCGGGTGGGTGTCTGGCCACTGCGTGACGTCGCCTACTTTTTAGCACTTACATTAGTACGTAGGTACTAAGGAGTGCTATGTCCTCCACCAAATCCATCCTTCATTATATCATTCTTTTTACTGGCTTATACCTGTTTTATTTCCCTCAGCAGGAATCAGCAGGAGGGTTTTCTAATTGATTGATAGGTGCTGTCAAATAACTCACAATTCCAGCGTGATTATTATCCTCCCATCAAGTAAGTCTGGAGCGCAATTATCAGAGATAGCACTGGTCACTAGACACACACGTCTGACAAGTCCACACCCGCTTCTAGTACAACTTCTCAAGCAGTACGGAGTAACTATTTCAAGGGCTCCATCATTTCTGCGACTGCGAAGGTCCTCATCTTCCCGCCTCCCGACGGACGATCCCGGAAGCCCCCATAGGGCGCTTCCCGATGTCCAATGAGACCGTCTGTTGAATGCTGAGGTAAGAGATGAGTCATTCTACTCCAAGGATTCTAGAACTACTGTAAGTAGTAAGGTAGGTGACTCGAATAACTACGAAAGTAAATAGGTAGTAGTCATTTAGGCAACGATATGGTCGAGTGGTGATCTTCTGGCAGATACTACAGATTAGTTCTGGACTATTTTTCATTTACAGCTATATATAGGGAGGTCTAGTAGGTAAATCTTACAACTACTAAATCTACAGCGGACTATATCAGAGACTGGAAATATAGACTTTGATTGTCTATAGATATGCCCAGTAGCAGGCAGGAGGTATACCGAAAAGCTACAGAACTCAATATACTGCCTTTCCTATGATAATAGACAGATAAGCATACGCCGATATAAGTGACCGTGCTGGCTGATTAATTGGTTAGCCAGCGTAGACTCTGACAAGATCGGCAACGATCGAAGCAGAGAATAAAAGGAATTGCGAATATATCGGGATGAAAACTGATTATCACTGGCATTAGAGCAGCAAAAGGGTGATAGTCATGATGAAACGATGTGTTCTCTGCTCTAAGAATACTCACTAGCTTGTCATTTGCGTAGTTGTCTCGATAGAATAGTCCACTGATGTCCTCTGGCTTATCCTCGAATAGCAGTTACAAGGACCTCTATCAGTCCCCAATTATAGGACTACCGTAGTGTTGAACTCAACTATCGCGCTTCATTATAGACCAGCGGATGCTGTAGCACTGTTTTCATCGTAACTACAAAGCATACCTGATCCTATCTTCACTTTCTTCACTAGAAACCGCGTAAGCCTGTACTCACCACTTCGCCTACCTTGGCCATAGGCTAGTGAAGTGCACGCCAAACCCGAAGGTGAAGGCGTCTCCGTGAAAGTTGCCACATTGACTTTTTGCGCGGCAATTCCCATTATTCGTGTGGAATTCCCGCGTGTAGTCCCGTCATTACCCATGCCAAATGGGAACTTCCTGAGCCCTGGACGGCATTTCCCGTATACGTAGACTCGTAGACTCACAACCAGGGGTATATAGCTTCTAACTACTTACCTTTTAATGGAGATATCCGAGACTCACATGCAGCGCCATACCTATATAATCTGGCGCATCTGTCTTCTCTTCTCTCCCACTTCAATCCAGTTTCCTCTTTCTCCCAAACCGTCACTCATTTCTCCCCCCTGTATTGTGGTGGTAAAGCCTGCCATTCACCTTCAGTAACGAAGCTGCTGACCCAGTCACCGTAGTTAACACTCACTGCCAACAGCTTCATTCACTGGACGGTCAGTCTCCTGCTCCCCCCAGGACTCTCTGGCCCGCCCACCATGTCTTCCCCTTCCCCCCCTCCTCTTCTTCCCTTCTTCCTCTTCCTCTTCCTCCTCCAACGAACTTTACCAAGATCGGATTCTTCTTAACTTCGTTGACACTTACAGTGTTTAGCAAAGCTTATCGCGGAATCATCTTCTTCGTATCTTCGTTAACATCTTCTTGTGCTTTTTCCAAAGTACAACCCGCTTTTTAAAGCTTCTCTTCAAGGTTTGAGCTCCAGACCTATTACCGTTAGAATCTCGTAAACAACAAACTCACGCTGTACAGCATGTTCACCATGATGTCTCCTACGGAACAAGTCCTCGTGTACGGAAGGACTCTGAACCCGGAGTACGAGTCATTAGACATGCTCGACTTGACTGCAGGACTGGACACCGTCTTTGCAGCTCTTATTCTCTTCTTTTTCGTCGCCGTAAATTGGCACGCCCTCACCTCTGGCATCTCGTTCGGGGCCAAGCTGCTTGCGGCTGTTTTATCTCCCCTCGAATTCCTCGTCGCGTGCGTTGACGCGTTCAAGAGATGGATGGTCCAGAGCCAGATGGGTCGTCGCCTTTCCGACCTCCGTAACTGGTATTTCCCTGCTCGTCGTCCCATCGCCATGATCTCGCGGGTTTATGTCACAATCGTCACTTTGATGTGGACGAGTCAAGATCTTCTGACGCCCGGCTACCATGTCTTGTATGGCATGGCTGATGGTATGGGATCCGCAGGCTGGGACCACTGGGAGTACTGCCTGAACCTGGATCGTGGTTCTCCGGCAGGCCGGTGGTCCAGCAGTCGGCGGCTCCAGGGATTCCATTGTGACGGAGTCGACCTCGGCGTGGAGTTGTTTTCTGTCTGGGAAGACTACATCCCAACGTTCAGCGTTGGAGATGATATTGAACACCTCCAGATTTTCCGTTTCGTCTGTTCCGTTTTGGCCCTCGCCAGCATTCTTGCCGGGGCTGTTATCGCTATCCGTCATTCTTCTCCTGTCAAGGCCATTGAGACGCTTTGCAGCTGGACACGTTCGAAGTCAAAGAACGGTCCTGAAGATGAGGCACAGCACCAAGATACAGCGTTGCTCGAGCAAGTTGGACTTCTTTCGGCCAGGATTGGCACTTACGAAGCAATGCTGGATGAGGTACGAGGCCAGCTGGCCGCCAAAACCGAGCAGGCGAACGGAATGGAGGTGCGCTTTGACGAACTCCGGTCGAGAAATCAAATGCTGGTTGCACGTTGCGAAGAGGACAAGGTTGCCCAGCAAGAGAGTCTGATCGCCGGTCTTCGTCAAGAGCTAGATCGGGTCAACTGTCGCCTCATAATGGCTAACGGAAGAGCGCGGGGGGCGCAGTACAAGTCTGACTCACGGGAGCAGACTCTCACCAACCGTGTCGCCGAGCTAGAGGAGCAGCTGGCTCGCAAGTCTGATGAGGCGAATGCCAACTCTCGCGGCATTATTGAATCGCTTCAAGCAGACCTCAATAATCGGACCGATGAGCTCAACGCCATGGCGCGCCGTCTAGAAGCCGTTGAAGCTCTGGCCGAGAGGACCTGCGACATTGAAAAGCTCCGTGTGACAGAGGAGGAGGTTCTCTGCAAGGATGCAGAGATCTCTAGACTCCAGGAACTACTTCTGGTTCAGGAGCAGCAGTCTTACGAGCGGGCGAGGGAACTTAGCGTCGTCGAAGACCAGCTTTCCAAGAAAGAAGTTGTGATCCAGGACCTGGGCGCAAGAATCCGGGCCTACGAGGCAGCACCCCAGGTGCAGGCCACGGAGCCTAACGCCGCAGAGATCCGGTCCCTGAAAGAACAACTTCAGTTTTTCCAGGCACAGTGTCACACGCAAGCAGCACAACTCGGAGAGGCTGAAGCACGAGTGATTGCCCTGCAGGCCAAGCTCGAAGAGTATTCCCAATTGCTGGAGGCAGAGGGTCGCGCAAAGCAAGAAGAGATCGGCTTCTGGTCGCAACAGTACGACACACTCTTTGCCGAGCATTTCGACCTTACTAGACAGCATAAAAAGCTGCAGAGTGCGTTCAAAGGGGACGATGCTGTCCAGGAAATCCTGGAGCTGCGGGCCGAGATCGAGTCTCTTAAATCTGCGTTGGATGGGAACAGCGCGGTCCAGGAGGCCCTGAATCTCCGGGTGGAGGTCAACGCGGTGAAGGCGGTCGCCGAAGAGAAGGTGAGAGAAGCCGAGGCGAAGGCGACAGAAGCCGAGCAGAAGATGATGGAGGCTGAGGGGGTCGCGAACTTTCTCCGGCAAGCCGACGAAGGGCATCGCAAGACAATGAAAAGTCTCAAAGACGCCTACGATAAGGAGGTGGAGAGATACGATGACGAGGTCGCGGCGGAACGTGCGGCTGCCGAGGAGGCTCGGAAGCAGGTGAAGGGCTTGCAGGAGGAACTCAAGGAGATGTCGCGGCAAGTCGGCATCGCCTCCAGGGATGCTCAGCGTTTCCGGGAGCAGAAGGAGGGCACCGAGGCGGAGAGGGACAAGCTCACGGGCGTCAATGACGTCCTTGAGCACCGTCTGAAGTTTTGGGAGAACAGCGAGAGTATGCAAACGATCCCCAAGCGCCGTACGGGCGACTTGGGGTCTCTTGCGACGGCTCTGGACGAGGCCAGGGTCGAAATCTCCAGGCAGCAGACCGAAATCAACGATCTGCGTGCCAAACTCCAAGCTCAGACGGAGTCCGCCGCCTCAGCCGCTTCTGCCCCCTCCGACCAGGCCCTTCAAGACAGCGTCAACCGTTTGCGACATGCCATGGAGGTCGAGAAAAGACAGCGAACCGAGGACCAGGTTCGCTGGGGCCGGCAGGTCCAAGAGTTGCAGCAGGAAAACCAGCGGCTGCGGGTTTCCATCTCCAGCGCCGGCCTGGGTCGCGGCCGCGGTCGTGGCCGAAGCCGAGGCGGTTGATGCTGTCGCCTGTCTTCGGGGCCTTCAAGCCCCATCATCTTCGATTCGGCTTCCCTGGTGTGAGAGTGAGAGTGAGTGAGTGAGGGGGGAGGGGTGGGAGAGAGAGAGTGAATGATACCAATGACAACTGAACTCAAAAGGACACTCTGAATTGCGACCGGCCTCGCCAGGATGTCGGCATATAAAGCTCGGGATACTGGCAGCCTGCTATATACAGGCTACTACTACTACTACTCAACAGGCAGCGCAATGATCGGATGTCAATCATCATCGGTAGGGACACAAGGAACGATCGACAAACCAGAATATGGGAATAAGGCAGAGCAATTGGAAAGTCTAAACCGGGTGGAGGTGTTCGTGAGATGGCCACTCGGTATAGAGAGGGAGTGAGTTGTCGATAATCAATCAGTCACAGTGGAAGCGAAAGATGTGGATCACGGGGTCAGTCGGGGAAAAGGTCCGTGACTGGCAGCGATAACGGATTCCCTTCCCTTTTCATCATCTTCAACTTCATCCCACATGAACCACAATTTCAACGGCCGGCTGGCATTAATTTGGGGCAACCTGCGTGCGGGAGAGGAGAGGATCCTATCAGATCCACACAGCGAGTAAGTACTTATCCCTCATGACCAATGGATTGGGAAATTGATCCGAACTAACACTCAATAGTGGCCAGTAGTTCTCAACAAGCGCCGCGCTGTTTCATTCCCTCCCTTCCGTGCGTGTTTCACCTTGGGCCACCAAACCATGGGCGACCCTCGTTCTTCATTCCACCAATTCCACCAATTGCTCCACATTCTTCCATGCAAGCCCCCTCCATTATCATACAATCCCGCCAACTCTCTTTTTTTCTCGCGTGGATTGCTCGGCTTCTGACCCTCAAGGGGTTCGCCTTTTCCCTGTGAACTGTCGTTCGTTTCTACTCCAAACTACCTCGTCTTTCCTTATTCCCATTGTGGCCGATATTTCGTCTCTTTCTCTCTCTCTCTCTCTCTCTCTCTCCCTCTCTCCTGTACTTATCAGCAATTGCGATCGGTGTTGTAACCGCAGCAGCACGCGCCAGGACCCCCCTTCCCCTATCTTGGCACGTTCGCCCTACCCACTGAAGCTAGCCGCCAACGTCGCAGTTCAAGCGTCACCTTAACCTTTTACAACACTTCAATGGCTATTCAGAATGGGTCCGCAGTGATTGACAGGTCGCTCGTTTGACCTCGGACTCCAGCAATCTCTCAGCGGTTATGCGCGATTGTTTTCGATAGTCGCTGGCCGTACTGCTGACGCTTTCCTCTCTTTCCTTGGCGCGGTCTCGTACATAACAAATTCGAGATCCTGGCTTCCTCTCATTCTCACACTACACTCTCACTCTTTGATCTTCGCTCTCGTTGCGATCTCGACTTCGCCCGGCTGGACCGACGAAGCATCACTCTTTTCCCGCTGAGACCATCTCCCTTCACCTTCTTTTATCTCATTGTGTACTGGCGACACCGGATTGGTTATCGGCATGTTTTGTTCTGGAGACAGGGAGAAAGGGCCCGTGGCCTTGGAGGAACAGTGGGATTACATTGTAAGCTCAATTCCTGAATTGGTCCTCCTATGGAAATGCCGCTGACGCTGACTGTTTACAGAACCTCGATGACTTCAAATCAGAGTCCTGTCTATCCCCGTTCTCATACTTCTTTCTCTACGTCTTCCTTCTTATCTCCATAGCCGTGTACGGAGTCGACACCTTTACCGCCGTCAATCTTCTTGCTTTCTCACGATGGGCGGGCCAAATTGAGCCTGCGATTCCTTTCAAAATATCGCGATGGATCTTCGCCGTTTGCATCATCATCTCTTTCGCCCTCTTGATCTACCGATGGTTGCGCGCCATTCGTGCAATCCGCTCCGGGAGTATCGCTCAGAGCTACCTCGACTCTCTCGCTGTGCGCGTTCAAAGTATTCGAATGGGAAGCAACGGTCGCGGTTGGAGGCGATTCCTCGTGTTCGGCGAGTTAACCAAAAGTAAGAAGGGCGCTGAATACGTCGCCCTCTTCGCATACTTTGCTTTTGAATGTAAGTTCACCACTGCCCTTCTTGCACACACACATGTTGACCTATCTAGCTTGGCTGAGCACTCTTTTTGCCGACGGCCCACGACAGGTCGTTAACGCCATTACCCTATACTCAGTGATGCAAATGGACCTTCTTCCCGGAGGCAGCAACACAACCGACGAGGGCGGGTCCGGAGCTTCGCAATTCTTTGACAACATGAAGGTGCTGGCGGAGGATAACACCGAACGTGCGGTTGTCCTGATCGGAATGCTGTTTACCCTGGTTATATGGGTCTTGTCAATGCTCAAATTGATCCTGGCTGTCGTACTCTACCTGATCTTTCTCTTCCACCATATCCCTTCGGAAGATGGGTCATTGAAGGCTTATTGCAAACGAAAGATTAACAGCCGGCTCACTCGTATTGTCCGGAGGAAAGTCAACAAAGCTTTGGCCAAAGGCGTGGCCTTGCAAGATCGGAAACCGACCAATCCAAACATGGGTCTAGACAAACGGCCTACTCTTCCCTCACTGGGTGCTGGCGATGACGACAAGACACCTGTTGTCACCACGATCTCGCGCACTACCACACAAACCACTCTCCCGGCTTACTCTTCACGTCCTGGGACAGCTGCTCCGGATCGCAAACCCACCTTGCCAGATGTTGGCGCATTCAATGATAAACCTGGATTGAGCCGAACAATGACCGAATCTTCAGCATATTCTGACGCGGCTTCATTGTCAGGAAGCACCGCGGTGTCAGCATACAGCCCACTGGATCGGCATGGTACGCCGGCGCCACCAGTGCCACCAGTGCCACCACTTCCGAAGCACGGCCCTGCCCCGATGCCACGCTCCCAGACTCCAAGGATGCCACAGAATTTCAACCAAGCGCCTGCGCAACCGGGATACAATAGTCCAATGGAGCGGTCATCACCGGCGCCATCTATGCCGCGCACCCAGACACCGATGTCACGTTCAGACTTCAACCCAGCACCTCGTCTGCCCGGTCAGCAGCCGGGGCCTGTACCGCGTTTGCAGACTCCAGTATCGCGGCAAGGGTTTACACCCACACCTCCAGCTCCTGGATACGGCCCGATTGACAGGGCGTCGCCAGCGCCACAAATGCCACGAACACAAACACCCGTTTCAAACTACACCTCAGGCCCCGGGTACAGCCAGGTTGACCATGCCTCACCGGCACCGCAAGTTTTTCGCAACCAAACACCCGTGTCACGTTCCAATTTTACACCAGCTCCTGGATATGGGCCAAACGTCCCCGGAACACAAGGTCCTGGCGAAGGGTACAGGCCATTTGAAACATACCAGCCTCAACACGATCCTTATGGTCCTCCATCTAGCACTCCTTTCCGTCCATACAGTCCGGCAATTGATCCAAACACTCGTTCTCTAACTCCCGCGTCTGCCTTCCCTGGCGAAAGAGCAGCAGCCCGAACAGTTTCACCCTTCAACCAGCCTGGCGCAGCCCCCTACCCAGCTCAAGAAAACGAGTACCCGCTGCGATCATTCAGTCCTGCTACTCACAATGGTCTTCGCTCTCCCCCAGCCGCCGCCCCGGCCGACACCCTGGGTAGGACGTTGTCACCAGTCAATACAGCTAATGGAGACGGCTATGTGGCGTTCAGTCCTGTAGCCAATGCGTTACCCTCGCCTTTTGCTAGCCACGCCATTTCCGCACACGATGGATACAGTCATGAATCCAGCTATGATTATCCGGAACCTCAGGACTATGACATGCCACACAGCTCCTATAACTCACATGAAGAGCCTGGGAGTGGTTATGTGGCGTTCAGTCCTGCAGCCAATGCGCCGCGCTCGCCCTTTGCTAGCGACACTATCTCGGCACACCACGAAGCCAACCATGAACATATGGATCACGTGGACCATACCATGCCACATGACTATAGCTCGCACGAAGAGCCTGAGAGTGGCTATGCTGCATTCAATCCCGCTGCTAAATCATCGTCCTCCGATTTAAGCCATGCTTCTCCGTTCGAAGATCATAACGAATCGCATATCGATGCCGCCCATATGTCCACAGGAAGATCAAATTCGGCGTCCCACGAAACGTCGCAACAGAATCATAATTATGTTGCTTACACACCTTCCGCTGGAAATGAGTCCCCTCTCGAGGAACATGCTGAGACGCATGAGAACGTCGAAATGCATACCGGCGCTGACGTGGCGGACAACTCGTACGAACACCGTGTGTCGAATGAATCGCATGATGTGCTACAGTCCCACTACAACCATGATAATCCTACCACTTCGTCCAGGAAGTCGTCCGAGTCCAAAATCTCTTCACAAGGACACCACGAACAAGCGACTGCAGAGCAGATGCATGGATTAGAGGTCAGGCCAGTTTCTCCGCTGAGCTTGGGCGACTTGACGCATGCCAATGATGGCTATGCAACTTTCAATCCCTCCGTCACCTCGCCTGCGCGAACCGAGACCGAACATAGACCTTCAAATTACCACACGCAAACAAGTGCGACTGTCGAGAACCCATTTGAGAACTCCGACCGCCAAGAAATAAGACCCTCAGAAGGGCACAGGGCCTTTAGTCCTTCCGTGAGGTCACCCGCTACACCCACACTCCCAAACATCGCGCCATATGATCATCATGGCCAATCACCATCAAGGACAATGTCCCCTCAAGGCGAGACTTCACACGTGAAGCCATATCGGCCTGACTACATTTGAAGTTGATTCTCTTCCTTCGTTCACTAGCTGGACTTCTTCATGATAATAGGAGAGCTGGCTGTACTTTCTGTTACGATTGCATTCTACCAACGAGCAAATGCTCATGAGTTGTTAAATACCCTTTGTTTTCCCCAATATTCATGTTCTTTACGTTTTGTAACTCCAATTGGGTACTCTATTCAGAGACAACCTAGGAGACTTTTCTTCAAGCCCATGGCTAATTGACTCTGTACATACCCATGAGTTATCTCACATACAATGTTAACTCACTTACCCATCTGAATCACAATCAAAGAAACCAAGTAGATTTCATTACCCAACCCAGCACTACCATAACCACAACCACAACCAAACCTACATACGTACATCCCCTCCCCAACCCCACAAAGTAAAACCAATCTACCTCCACGTATCAACCACCGTCTCCCCACTCCCACTCCCACACTCCGGCACCGTATACTCCCTATTTGGATCACTTTCCCAAGTAACACTTCCATCCTCGCCGACCTTAATAAACTTATACTCGAAGGTCGTCCCCACCGGCAACGACACAGTAACAGACCACTCGGGGTTACTCGAGGTATAATCATCCGCGGACAACTTCACCGCATCACTCGTATCCCACTCCCCGAGCTGGGAGATAGATCCGCTGAGGTAGACTTCTTCCCCGTAGGTGGTGGTGACTGTTTCTTCGAAGGTGATGGGGAGGGTGGTGGATGTTGCGGTGCATGATGATGAAGTAGTAGGAGAAGAAGAAGAGGAGGAGGTGGCTTTGGATGTGGAGGTAGCTGCAGTTGTGGTTGTGGTTGTGCTACCACTCCCCCCACAAAGCGAAGAACTATCAACCACCGAAGCAGGGAGGAGAACTCTAGGTAATCCCGAAGCCATCGGCACAGGGATATCCCCGTTCGAGTCGACGGTCACGGACGTGCAGGTGTACGCTTCGATGAGCTTCGTGCCGGACGTGTAGCCGCTTCCGCTGAGGGTGAGGGTGTAGCTGCTTCCGGAGGAGCCTTTGTTGGAGAGGACGGTGATGATTTGGGAGCCGGAGGTGCCTTTGCGCATCGCGATGGTGTTGCTGTCTGTGTAAATTGGGTCGTTCTATTCCATTATTAGATTCGTGTTAGAATGGGGGTTGAGCTCTGGGTGGGGGGAGGGACAAGGACGAACCGCGTAAGTAATGTAGTCCGAGTCCGCTGAGATAGCTAGTTTCCGGATCGCGTTCGTAGTGGCTATCCAGGTGTAGAGCTCCGCGGAGGTGTCGTAGCCTGATAGCCAGGTCGCTTCGCGGTTGTAGGGCACGGCGCCGCCGGAGTAGTGCTGTTCTTCACCGGCGTAGACGATGGGGATGCCGTCGGAGAGGAAGACGTAGCTGAGGACGTTTTTGGCTTGCGAGTAGTCGGATGTGTAGCTTTGTTTTGTTAGTGGGGGTTATTGTGAAAGGGGAGGGGGGGGGGAAGGGGAATGGGCATACGAGGCGAAGCGGGGGTTGTCGTGGTTTTCGATGAAGTTGCCCAGGAGGGTCGGATCGGAGCAGTCGCTGGCGACGGATTTGATCATGTTGTAGAGGTTGCTGATGCTGCCGCTGGAGGATTCGAAGGCGTAGAGGAGTTGCCAGTAGCTGTTTGGGTTAGTGATGGTTTAGAAAAAGGCGGAAGGGGGGTGTACATGGGGTAGTTGAGAACACCATCTAGATATTTTTGGTATGGGCAGTCGAGAGCAGGGTTGCCGTTGTCGACTTCACCGACGCAGTAGACTCCTGCTGCTTCTTGGTAGCCGGGGAAGAAGTCGGGTTCGACTTCTTCGACACTGTCGATACGGAGGCCGTCGACTGATATATAGTTCAGTATGTGACATGATTCTAGTGGGTTGGGGTCGCACCTGAGTAGTTGGACACCAGGTCGGCTACCCAGTCATACCAGATTGTTCTCACGGCGGTTTCGGTGGTGTTCAAGTCTGGTAGAGACACGATGGTGTCACCCTCCCAACAGTCTTGGACCATGGTCAAGTTGTCCCAATCTGTGATGAGGCAGTATGGATGGAAGTAGGAGGAGGAGTCGAAGGGGTCGAAGACACTGTAATCGACATCGTTGCCGTTGCCGGCGTAGCCCTGGTACAGTCATTGTTCACATTGGGTTTACTAATATAGAGGTAAAGCAGTACTTACCATGTGGTTAGGGACGACGTCGACCATGAGGTACATTCCACGGGCGTGAAGAGCATCGGAGAGGGACTTCAGATCATCTGCCGTGCCGAAGTTGGAGTTCACATTGTATCTGCCAAGTCAGCTGCAGTCTGCAAGTAAGCATAAAATATGAATGCAATGAGGACATACATCTTCTGCTGCCAGTATCCATGGTACGCTTCACCGTCGGAAGTATCCTGGGGCAGCTGCTCTGTGATGGGTGAGATCCAGATAGCTGTGAATCCCATGCCCTGGATATAGTCCAACTATAGCAATAGTCAGAAGGGCCCAGCATGGATGGTATGAAGTGAGATACGAACATGGTTGATAATTCCTTGCCAACTTCCACCACAGTAGATCTATCCAAGTCAGCAGATGAATGACGAAAGTACTGCAATACCATACTTGGTCACCCGTATTGCACGTAGCTGTAGTCGAATTGTCCGTCCTACCGAACCGATCCGTCAAAAGGAAGTAGATGGATTGAGTGCGCCATTCTGCAGCTGACAGCCCAAGGGCCAGCTTCCCGAAAAGGGACACAGCAAGGGCAATACTTGAAGTCGACACTCTCATAGCTGCGTTTAATGTCTGACGAAGCGACAGAAAGTGTCCCAAACACAGCCTGACTATCCGGGAATTCTGTTCTTGATAACCATTCTTAAATATTCCCTTCAGTACGGTGGCAGAAGGCTGAGCACCTTGCAAGGCAGATCAACCCACTCATTACCCTTCTGGTCACATCTGATGCTTGATGGATGCCAAGTGAAGCCGGCAATCAATCCATCAGCCAGGAACGGGCGTATACACAGTCTCTCATTGGTCAAAACTCCGATCACTTCGGGGGCCAGGATTTGACCCTGGTCCCCTTAATTGTTGCAGAACAACAAATCTCCGACACGGAATACTGACCATTAGCTAAATACGCCTCGAAATGGAGAAGAATCAACGGTCAAACCTTGTTCTGACTCGTGGAGGACGTAACGGATTTCTCGGGGCGTGTGATATGCCGGGTGAACAGGGTAAGCTGCAGGTTACCCGTTAGGGCGTCTCGCTTGGCGAAGCGAGATGAATTCCTGCAGACTACCCGGGTCGACGCCATAGGGCCATATGGGTGCGGAGAAGATAGATTAAACTCTTATTGACGAAAAGTCAAAGCCCGTCCCATGTTGCATTCGAGCTGCACGGTGATGGAGCGTTCAGCGGGATATCCTGGCCGGTGGCTTGAGCGGACAGTATAATCTACCGCATGCCCAGGCCGACAAAGTATATTAGCCGAGAGCTTGCATGATTGTGAATATCACATGCATTTATTTCATGAGGACGTTCGCTGATTCCAGTTACTCTTCCGACCGGAACAGGGCCGTAGCATATCCACTGCGAGAGACCTGCGCGCCACTCGGCTAAAGGGCTGACACATGCGCGATTTATAATATAGAGATTAATCAAAAGAAAGGTTATATTGCAGGAATAGTTGTCTATAAGTCTTCTTCTATCGAATGCCAGCCTCGATGAAGCAATTTGCAGCTCTCGGATACTCCCTGCCGCGGTCATTACAGCTGGTGTTTTCGGACCGTCCATGCAAGGACCGATCCTAGAAGCGAAAGGATGAGGGAAAATACTGGCACAAAAGTCAATAAGGAAGTACAGGGAATATACCAAATTAGACAACTTACGATAAGTGTAGCGGAGACCAGCCACATATCCTTTTACCACTACATCTCGGACATGACCCTGCAAGCCATTGATATAGCTCGTATCGGACAGCGCGCGCTCGATGATCTTCCAAACCCGTCAGTAAATAAATGCAGAAAGGAGCGGAGATACACACTTTCTTGGCCCCTGGGCCAGTCAGATGCTGCTCCATCTGGCGCTTGAAAACAGTCCCCAGCAGACTGTTGGTGACAGTCACACCAGCCGTCATGGCGAAGCTGAAGAGTAGGAAATACCCTCCTGTCGCCATGGCCACTTCCTGCGGCATCAAAAACGCCGTCATACTGACGAAAGCAGCCGCCGAGCAGAAACCAGTACCCATACCACCGGGAATAATGTACAAAGACTCCCAGAATCCAGTGTGACCGTTCCAGCGGAGGAAAAGGAGTAGATATGCAACAGACGCAACAAGACCGGCAAGAATTAAGAGGACCTTGAATTGGCCGGTGCGACGGATGAAGGCTCCCGCGATCAAGCCTCCAAGCGTGTTCCCGATCACGGCGGGAACTAGATGCCCTCCAGCTACGGTGGCTGAGGCTTTCGATGTCACCTGAAAATATAGCGGCACGGAGAACATCATTCCAACTTGGGCGGTGATCTGCAGCGATCCGATCAGGTAACTGGGCGTCACATTCGGCTTCCGCAGCATGCGAAGTTCGAAGATCGGTTCGGGGGCTACATAGAGTTCAACAAGAACGAAGGCGACGAATGCTGACAGACTGAGAGTTGCGAGGATTGCCGTTGACAGTGATGCCCATGCGAAGGACTGTCCTGCCTGGTCCATAATAACTGTGCTTGTGATTATACCAGTGGCAAGAAGAAACGTTCCAAGAAAGTCGACACGGCGGACGCTCTTCTCAGTGACTGGATGGGCGAGCTTGAGTTTCCATACCACCAATAAAGCTGCCACAGCGGCTAAGGGCCCCTGAATGATAAACGACCTTGACCGCAAATTAGCGAGAGAAGCGGCTACAGAGGCGCAAAGCATACCATCTCCATCCGATTGTATCAGTTAGCCATCCGCCCACTGGGCCTCCTGCGCTACGACCCAGAGTCATCGCGATGTTGATGTACGCCCGCCAATGGGCAACATCCCGTCGGGGAACAATATCTGCCTATGTTCAGTGATGTTCATCAAGCTAGTAAGCGGATACCCTACCTGTGATAATGATAGATCCCATCGCCATTGTTCCAGCACCCCCAATTCCGCTGATTGCACGTCCCAGTATGACAGTTGCCATATCCGGACCAATACCGCTAGGGGAACCGCTGTCAGCACAAACCGGCAAACCAGCATCTAATTGAAGCCTACCTGATAACACATCCCACGCCGAAAAGAAAATACGCCCAAAGTAGCAGTGGCTTGCGACCGTAGATGTCACTCAGCTTACCGTACTATATGTCACCGTCAGTCTATCCCGATCTTCTCAAAAATTGTGTGATAGCTGACCATCGGTTGAGCAGCGCATAATCCCAGGGTGTATGCCGTTGATAGCCAACTCGCATCGCGCAGTCGATTGAACTCAGAAGAGATTCTGCCTGTTGCCGCCATGACTAGTGTTGCGTCCGCGTTGGATATGAATTCACCTAGACGATTGTCAGTCTGACTGAGAAGAAAGCCTAACAAGACCGTAAACCCGACATACCCAGCAACAACACGCCAATCACGGTACTTATACTGGTTAAAGCCGTCACCTCTTTCCCAGGCGACTCGGGTGGGTTGATCAACGGCCGTTCCTCATCACTACCATGGCTGCTGTGCACGTCGCTCGTGAGCCCTTTTGTTATGCTGCTGTAATCCGGGGTGTTTGCACTGGGAGTCGCATGCTGCGCCGAAGAATTCAGGGGCGTTCTTTCATCGATATTCGCGTCCAGCGGATCTGGACTAGAAGCTGAGACGGCCATTATATCCGGGATCTCTGGCGTGTTCGAGGTGGTGAGTTGAGAATGTCGCAAAGCCGGGAGATGGAACCTTGCGTCGGCAGCATGGAAGTTCGGTGAGAGATAGAGTTACGGGCAGCAGGCGCTGATATGTTTTCTTTTCCCGGACCCTGCTTCGGCTGCGGGAAAAGAAATAATCTGTCCACGCAGTCATCCATTCCGAGATTTCCGCTTATCTGGGGAATCTGGACCCCCCAGGAGCGAGTTCGAAGCATCAGTATTGGCTGGTGACAGTGTCACTCAGAGAATAAGCGATGACACCATCGGGGGCAGATATACGATCGAGGGCTGCTAAACCGCATCAGGGAAAGCGAGTTCACGGATGGGTCAACGGACTGGGGCTATAATAGGGGAAGAAGCAGAAGCGCAAATGAAGTGGTGGAAGAACCAAAGTTGAGCTCATTGAAGTGGAGCAGCACGCCATGGCTGCTCCCGATGGCGAACCCATGGTGGGTGGGTGGCCTTAGCGCCTGGACCGTCAGGGACACCCGACATTCGGCTGTCAGTCATTCAACTCAACCCTAAAGCATGTCAAAACAAGGTTATAATTTTGAATAAGAGGAGAAGTAAGTCATTGTTCGGAAAACCCATGGGACAGTTGGAGGTGCGACCGATGGCGACATTCCGCTTTGATCACGTGTACTTTGTACAGCCAGCAACACAGCTAAATCCACTGTAGCGTTTTACCCTACCTTGTTGATTATTCTCGCTGAATGATGGTTTCTTTGGCTTGTGCTGTCGCATCTGTACCAAAGGAGTTTTGTCAAGCTTAGCCTGGAATGGAACGTCACGTCAATGCATTCTCGCTGTACCCCTAAAATTACTCACATTAACCAGTCCGCGCGGATCCACAATACTATATGCCGAGTCTGTCAGACTGGTCCAGCTGAATTGTCGCAGAGGAGTTTATTGGGGGTGAAAATAAAACAGTTTATCATGGTAAATGATTAGCTTAGTCGATCTTCTTCTACTAGGTAGAAAGAAGACTACGGCCACATCTAGAGAGCTCTTCCCAGCCAACGACTTTGGCTTGGTCTGACAAATATATCTTTCGTACACATCGATATAAAGCCGGTAGTATATAATATGCTGTAACATGGTACCAATGTTGTTTTCTGTCCATTTCTCATTATAATAAGAGGCGATGTTCTATGCCAAGACCCCAGGGAGAGAAAAAAAAAAAAAGAAGTTCGAGAGCATCGAGTCATAGTCCACGTTGCATTTGCTGGATCGTCTACCGAAGTCATGTCTTGGCCAGGGGGTTGATCCCCCCCATCCGTTTGTTTTAGGTGGAGAAACCTTATCTCTTCATGAATACTCTTGACCCCAGCTGGACTCTTAAAGAATATACGCAGATAAAGCAGGATGATGTAAACGCTATAGGCTCGCAGCCCATGGGGGCGGATGGGAGGTGATATACGGTCCCTTAAGTAAGGAATAGATTTAGAACATCACCCACTCAAACTGATGGGCAGAGGCACTGGAACCGAGAAGTAATATAATATTGTAATGTGATCGATTGATCCCTTGGACAACACGAGAATAATTAAAGAGGGGTTTCTAGATTTATCGCATAGCGGAGTCCATGAGCTGTTGGCCGTAGCATTTGAGAAACAGAATAGTGCGGAGTCAGTCCCCTCAGAACCTTGCCAGGAACCTCTTGAAGGAACAGTCTGTGACATATGCGTGTATAAACCGGCTTAAACCCACGGCAATGCCCAGACGCTCCTTGATCTCTGGAGCTTAACAGATGAATCTCGGATTTAGTCTTTGTGCAGGGAGTTGACCCACCCAGTACCCGCCAGCTTGTCATATTGGGTGCTGACGCGGTAGTTATTAGTAGGCAGTGTTATAGCCTGTTCCTGCTGACACAAGGAGATAGGCTAGCCTATTCATGACTTCACGGCGTGTCATCTGCTTGGGATTTAACGAAGCTGCTATGCAGCATTTTGGAATGACTGGTGAAAGACAATGGACGGTGTGGAGGGTAGACGCCTCAGGCGACCAGATGACATTCTTGGCGGCGTCTGTGCTCACGCGTCGATCTCTGCCTTTTCCTTTCACCCCCGGTCTTTCAGCCGAGGTCTTCCTTCAACCTTGCAACTATCAACTTCGTGCAACATCCCTTCATTCAACGACCTGACCATCATCGACTTCTTCATCTCGTCTCAACGTCGCCTCTCACTGTAAAATGGCAGACATCACGATAACAGAGAGCGAGTTTAAACTCGCGGACGGAACCGTCCTCTACCAGAAGACCTGGTCGGTAAGGGCACACACCCTCAATCACATGTCAAACATCCCATTCAGTCACCGACATCCTAACATCTCCACCAGCCCGCTGCCCCCAAGGCCAAACTTGTACATTTTCATGGCTTCAGCGACCACATCAACAGCTACAATAACTTCTTTCCCTTGCTAGCACGTCGTGGTATCTACTGCACTGGTATCGACGAGCGCGGCTGGGGCCGATCGGCCCCGAAAAAGTCCGACCGTGGAAACACAGGGCCTACCTCCTTGGTTCTGGCCGACATGGCCGCCGTCATCAAGGACCAGCAGACCAACGTCTTCCCTGAGCTCCCTTTGTTTATCAACGGGCACTCCATGGGTGGTGGATTGGTGGCTACTCTTGCCTCGACCAAGGAGTATCAGCCGCTCGTGTCCTCACTTCGTGGGATTATGCTTTCGGCTCCTTTGATGGGGCTTACACCCGAACAGACCCCCAGCTGGATCACGGTATTCGTGGGCCGGCTGGCAGGCAAGCTTCTACCCCGCTTCCAGCTCGTGGAGAAAATGCGGGTAGAAACGCTGGTGCGCGATCCCGCAGTGCAAAAGAGCATTGCAGAGGACCCGTTGAACCATGCCACGGGAACACTCGAGATGTTTGCCAATATGCTGGACCGGATGATGGAGCTGGATCAAGGCAAATTGACCCTTGTTGACGGAGTGCAGTCAATCTTTCTCGCTCACGGAACTGGGGATAACTGCACCAGTTACGATGCAAGCAAGAGATGGTTTGAGCGCGAGGCGGCTCGTTTCCCTGAAACAGCGAAGATGCACAAGTCCTACGATGGATGGAGCCATGTTTTGCATGCCGATCTGCCGGAGACTTACCCGATTTATGCGGAGGATATGGCTACCTGGATCCTTGAAAAATCTGAGGCTTAGACACTCACTTCTTAGAAGAGGGAGCACATGCCTCCATACGCGGGGCGCTGCCAATTGGCAAGTCTTCAGTGTCAGCTAACATCGTTCGCACAATTGTTGCATCTGGCATTACCGCTGGCCGAACTTTATCATCTCGGGTCTATAGTAATTCTTTAGTACGTTTGGGTCGTGCATTCTTTGGTTGAGCTTTTCTTCATTTGGGGGTAGGGTATATATCATGATATAATGTTTTGGGCGATGGATCAATAGTGCAGCTTATCATATCATGTCATCAGAAGTTTAGAACGAACAGCTGGAGCTGGCATGTCAAGAACTTTAAAGATCACCGAGCGGTGTAGGACTGTGTGGCTGTGCCTGACTAGAAGACAAAGAGAGTGTAGATCCCTCTTTCACCATAGTTTCATAACACGAAGCCAGAGACAGACTAGCAGCAAGATCCCGTCAAAACCAAGGCAAAGGATGCCGGCTAGACTGAAAGGGGAAACGCAGACCCTTAAAACCGGGGCTAAGAGACTGCTTACTGCTTCTGGTCAAGCTTTGGCCCCCCACGCGTCCCCTCAGCCTCGTTCCATTTTCTTTCTAAAAACTGCCGCAGAGACTGGATTGTTTCCTGTCAACAATCTCAGAGTTGTATGATTCTTCTTCAAAATGCCTGTTCACAACCCGCTTCCCTCATCTTTACGAAGTACGTATCGATTTACTAGGATGTTGGCCTGAATGTTATGAATCATCTCAGCTCTACGACATTCTACAAAGGCAGCGTTCATCGCGTAACCCGAAACTAACAAAGTTTACGTGATAACCAGGCGAATGCGAAAAAGCAGCTCAGATCATCAACAGTTTCACAGATCCCGATGGCTTCAATAGCCCGGGACGTACCATCCCCCGAAAAACACTCGCTAGTGCCAAGGTATGCTCTGAATATGTGCTCGCCTCGTCACTACCTTGACTCACATTTCAAAGGGCCTCGCCATTCTCACAGTCGCCAAAGCCGGGTTCCTAGGGTCAGTGCGCCTTGGCTCTGGTATCCTCGTTGCACGTCTACCCGACGGGTCCTGGTCTGCCCCATCAGCCATCGCGTCCGTGGGAGGTGGCTTCGGCGGACAAATCGGTGTCGAATTGACAGATTTCGTGTTCATCCTGCAGAGCGATCATGCAGTGCAAACGTTTGCAAAGCTGGGAAGCCTAACTCTGGGGCTCAACGTCTCACTGGCAGTGGGACCGGTCGGACGCAGTGGAGAGATTGCGGGTGTCGTAAGCACTGGTGGTGTCATGGGGATATTCTCATTCGCACAAACCAAGGGCCTCTTTGGTGGCGTGAGTGCAGAAGGAGGCATTATCTTTGAAAACAGGCTCGCGAACCGAAAACTGTACGGGGATATTGTCAAGGCACGGGAACTGCTAAGCGGCGACATCCCTCCGCCTGTCGAGGCCAACAGGCTTATGCAGGCGTTGCAATCCGATGTCTTCTCTGGTCATAGGTCAAATTTCGATTGTGAACAGGCATCAAAAGAGCCACTTGCGGAGACGGTTGCCATGCCACCGCAGTCACCCTCGTCTGAGGTGGCTGAACGAGTTGCTGTAATGTCGTCTGTGGCGCCTAGCGAAATTCATGAGGCACCGCCATCGGAGATCTCTCCTGTCGAGTCACCGTCAGTAGCAGTGGCACCACAGAGGCCAGTTGAGCTGCCTGGTTCGATCCAAGAGCTGGACTCCACGCCTGCACAACCCAGACCTGCGGATCAGCATAGCCCCGTTTCTGCTATCTCCACTACTCACAATCCTTGATACCTTTGACTAGCCACCTGGGGTATGGACTCCGCAGAGGCTTTGTGGACAGTGTCGCCCATGCATGACAGCAGCAAGGCTAGGCTGTCTCTGCTATCGGAAGCCATGTCACAAGGGCGCTTAATTGAAAAATTCCCAGACTGGGCCAGATTTTCGCGTCGACCACAGCTAATTAGCGACGTTTTTGCACCATCTAATCTACAAATATGAGAAAGGGAACTGAATACTTAGCAACTACGAATCCTAATACTTGAAAATATAATGTCTATTCTACCTTTACATATCACGGGTCCTTGGTATGATATGAATATGCGCGTGGTGAGTATAATTATGTGCTACAGTTAGTGCTACAGGGTAGTAGATCTTGCCAATCTCGATTCGAGGCTTATATATCGTATAGGACGCCATGCTGCGTCCCACTTCTGTTGTTGATTGGACTGCTGACTTGTTATGGTGGATACGGGATATTGATTCGCTTCCTAATGACTAAAGCCAGGATGAGCCAATCATGACCAGGATGTTACTCTGATAATATTTCCACCTTAAAATCTCGATAAAAGTATGGCAGCACGAATTGCGAGGCTCAAGTCGAAATCCAGGAACACATCTTGGCTGGTTGGGGTAGTCCAATAGAAATGACGGGCGATGTTACTTTGTCCCACCAACGGGTATCACACCGTTTCACCAACCCTACCCGGCGCAACATGCCGATTCGACGTCCTGGTTGCAACGTGCCAATGTAGCTGGGATAGCCGCGCTTAATTATGGTAGTGTAGAGCTAGGTTCGGTCAATGACTGTGAACAAAGAAATTTCGGTTCCTTCCTGTCCCGTTGGTTGGAATTCGATGCGTTTCGCGTCTGCTGGTTCTCTTTATTCCTCGTTCTCTTACCTCAACATCTCACACTGCACTATACGATCGGGGGCGAATAATACTGGAATGCATATTGTACCAACTATGTCTATTCACGTTTAGAGGCTACCTATTCTCATAGCCAGGTTAATCACATGACGTATTCAGTCACCATCACCGAGGTTTGCTCCCTGCCAGTGCTGGATCATTCTTTGGAGGGGGGTATGGTAACACTAGCAATTGAATATGCAGTAACTTTCGTTAACATATTATTCACCATTCAGGTCGCGATATTTGACGATCGGAAGGGAGCTGGGTAGACACAACCGTTGTGATCAGAACTTCCAGAGATCACAAATTCTAGACTCTTTCCCTTATAAGGATCAGCAGCTCCTATACATCTCCCTGTTAGTACTCCAACGCCATGGGCTCTATCCCAAAGGAAACCTTGTATCTCCCGATTGTTGTGGTGGACGAGATCATCGAGTATCTCGACCTGGAAACCATCAAATCCCTTCGATTAACCGACAGAACATGGAGTCAACTATGCTTGGGCCCACGCTTCAAATCATTTATGCGCCACCAATCTACTGATCTGACCACACGGAGCCTGGAGTCCCTCAGTGCTCTCTCCTGCCATGACATCCTGCGCTCAGCTGTCAAGGATTTGACTATAATCGCAGCAGTCTACGACAGTTTTCTCCTCCAGAAGGTTCTCAGGACCAGTCGATGCGAAGATGAGGATAGTATTCCCTGGGTAACAGCAAGAGATTGTACACTGGATGAGGTGGTCCAAGCAGAGGCAGATCTAGCATGGTTGGAGGAAGAGTCTGCGAGACATCAGCTCGCCCATGAAGATCACGCCGTGCCGACACTGACAGCCATATTAAACAATTTTGGAATGCTCAACTTCATTGCTATGGAAGCCAAAGTCACATATTCCCCACGGCCAGATTTATTCAGGTCCCGAGGTGACTGGTATGCTGTTTGGTGCAAAGCAACCCAGGTCTATCACATATCCATGTCTGCTATTGCAAAAAGCACTATCGAACTCAATAGCCTCACGATATTTAGAAGCCCAATACGCTCAGCCATCCCAACCAACGACATAACCGCCCATATGCTCACCCTCGACAAAGCCGCTTGTACCTTTACCTCGGGCCAGTCGATCAAGAACTTTTCAATAGATCTATCAACGCGAGTAGATGCCAATTCAGAGAGGCTGTCGAAACGGAAAGCCGAAATGGAAAGATGGGAGCGTGAAACCCGCCGAAGCTGGCACGGACTCAGGCCGGGGGCTCTTCTTGCGAGTCATGATCGCGAAGTGAACTTTGAGAACAACTATCCTGGCGTCGCTCGATTACTGCAGAACATGCCAAACCTAGAGACCTTGACCCTTAGGCTCCGTTGTACAGTGATTGGGGATGTAAGCCTATACCATCGGCTGTTTGAATACATTGCTAGCAAGGTCCGTCTTCGACGGCTGAGGAGACTCCATCTGCTCGGTATCTACGCCACTTCAGACTCCCTGCTAGAATTTCTACGCAACCATCCCGATATTGAAATCCTGTGGCTCGAGAAAGTGAACCTTGTCTCTGGGTTATGGGAGCCTGTCTTCACGCAAATCAGGAAGATGCCGTCTTTGACGAGGGTTGTTTTGGCGAGTATTTCCGAGGCAGGACAGACTTTGAATCTAAGGCCAGCCGAAGACAATGACGACCGCAGTGACCCGAGCAATACAGATTACTATTTGTGTACAAGGGGTGTCTTTGTTCACAGACGTGAATTTGACGCTTGTGACATCCGGAAGGGATTTCAATTCAGCACAGAGTATCAGGGTGCACCCCAGGGAACACATGGATTCACTTCGTTTCTTGTATTTGACCAGGAACATTATGGACTTCCTTAGTTAGGCTTCAGTGCTTCTACAGTTTCATCTGTATGCATACACCCAAGCAAACCAATCTTTCATCTTGCTTTAAAACTCTTCGATTGATCCTCCTGGTGCATCTCATTTGTCGCTAACCTCAGGATGGCCTTCACTATAGAGTAACCACATATCACAACAAATGAACGGTCTCGCGCAACCAGTAAATTCCCCATAAATAACTGTTCCAAGTAGTAAATTGCATGTCTACCTCGGAAAGCTTGTAAGAGTGCCAAGAAAACAAAAAAAATATCGGGCCCGAACCGCGATTCGAACGCGGGGCCTCCTGCATTTCAAATCCCGAAGCAGGAATCATACCACTAGACCATCCGGGCTGATTTGAAAATTTATAAGCTGGGTATGCTTTATACGCAGAGGAAAAACGTAGTAAGCCAGTTACCACAGAAGCTGTCTGGAAGCGACAGGCATTAACGGGTAAGACAATAAATGTAGGTTTTCTGGCCTGGACGAATCCCGAATTAACTATTATTCTAGCTATGAATAAAAATGGCAAGGGGATATATTTATTGTCAGTCAGGCGCAAAGTCTGTTATATTTGACGATATGCACAACACGATGTCAGAATATATTCTCAACTACAGCAGCCACATCCTTTTCCTTGTCGAGCATGGTGTGATGGAAAGTACCAGTCAAAGTGACGCTCACAATGATCCTTACAACCTGCAGAATACGATTTGAATTTTCTCTACATGATGCTGAAATGACCTGGTAGAGTGTTCTTCACGACCTTGGGGTTCTAGGTTGGGGGCCAGCCAATTCACGTCTCGCGGCAATATGAGACATTCACCAAAGCTGCAACCGGCAATTAACTATGCCCCAATAACTATTATCAACCAATCCTTTTCGCTCACAAAGTTGAGTTCCCTTGAGCCCTAATTAACCCTGAACAAGTGCATGAATACCGTTAATTCCAGTGGTAATTACGGCTTCCCCTGTGCGTAGCTGTCGCTTATACCTATAAGCCAGTGCTGCGATCGGCAAACCGTTTACAACTACCCAGTATGCTTGGCAAATACATTCTAGAAGATGAGCCAGCTGTGCAAAAATCAGAGAATGCTTGGACATATAACCCCAGACAGGGTCTGGGATTGCGACTCAAGAAAAACTTCCTGAAGTTGTTCTTAGCCAAGATCGTCTCCTGCAAAGTTCAAGGATTTAACTACGACGACTTCATTCCTACCTTCAACATGGAATCCTTTTCTTCTGCAGCAATGACCCCGGAGTCTAGTATATCCTCCTCCGTTTCAAGCATTGATACACTATCGTCAGAAATATCGAAATTATCAATGGAGGAAAAGAATGGTCAGAGTACTTCGAAAGCCCTGAACCAGGAAGACTTACTGAAAAGACTTCAGGCAAAATGCCACTCACCGGCTCGTCTCAGAACCGAGGGCTAGGTCACAACTCCCTGTCCAAAATCAGATAGGCCCCAATGGAAGGGGATAATCCGCTTGGACCTGTTCAAGCGCACACTAGGTGGCCATAATCATCACCATCAGGGCAAACCTGGCAATCGCACAGCCAGAGACGCAGTGGTCATCGACTGTGAAATGGTGCAAGCAGAGAAAGGATGACGAGTCATTGCCTATCTCGCTGCCGTGGACTTTTTAACTGGTGAAGTCCTCGTCGATAGTTACGTTAATCCCCAGAGGAAGATATTCAACTGGTGTACTCGCTACAGTGGTATCACGTTTAGAGCTATGAAGAAGGCGATAGCTAACGGCGACGCCCTGCGTGGGTGGATGGGGGCGAGACGCGCCCTGTGGGACTATATTGATAGTGATACCGTGCTGATTGGGCACGATATAAAAAATGATTTAAACTGCCTTGGGATGATCCACCCCAAAATAGTCGACTCGACTATCCTAACGGCAGAAGCTGTGTTCAGGCCCAGATGGGAAACCCAGCGATTTAGGAGGACTTGGTCGTTGAAGACGCTGTCGAGGGTGTTCCTCGACAGGTCTATCCAAGATGGTTCTAAAGGGCACAGTGCGCTGCAGGATGCTGTTGCCACGAAAGATATCGTTATTTTCTGCCTTGAACAGCCTGAATACTTGAAGAAATGGGCGGAGTTTGCAAAAGGAGGATGGGAGAATATTCCCGATGACTTTGAGACACTGAAGTCTATTGTCGAAGATGGTATCCAAGTCTCGGATTACCTTTGAGGTAGAGCTCCTTATTATATGCTCTACTTTTGGGGTCTGAGATTGTTGTTACGGTTGATGATGCATGGTATAGGTTACAAACATGGGTTTAGTCTTTTGCTCATTTCATGAGCGGTGCATGCTACAAGGGTTATAGAAGATGGTTTGGGCTATCATTTTGCAGGATGTGTTTGGGGCTTTATGATTGTGCTTGACAAATGTGTCTTCCTCTTGACAAATACCGATTGATCTAATAAACAAACAAAGAAGAATCCATAATTACCGCTACTACTTTTTATGTGAATGGTCTAGTCCAGTCATCACGATTCAGTATGTTCCTGTAACCTCTTGTTGCCGTTTGTATAACTCATAATGAATCGTAATGTGAAATGTCTCGATAATAGCAAGCAGCCCATTTCTGTATATTCTTTGTAAATATGATAACCCCCAGGACGAGGACTGCCATCATCCAACTGAAGGCGATCACATGGTATATGACCCACTAAACCCGAGAAAAGTTGAAAGAAAAGAGCGGGGAGCAGTAAATTATATCAGCAGATCCCGACAATAATCAAAAAACAGAGAGTAAGTGCGATATCCTGCATGTTTGCTGATCATAGTACTCTCTCCACTGATATATTCTATCAGCTTGTTAGTTATTCTGTTGGTTTTGGGATAAACCTCGGTACATTGTGGTTAGCCGCACACACTATAGAGCCCGATGCATAATAAAAGTGGAGCAGCTGAACAGCAATCATTTAGGGCCTCCTCGGGATTGCCTGTCCCGGTATAGTTGCTTGAGGGCATGTGCACGGTGGAGAACACTATAGTAGCAGCTAGTACTAGGAGCCCTTCAGCCATCGAAGCTGGACATTGCCCGGGACATGCAAAAAGGATTGGTCGGCCAAGATATGTATAAATGTTTCATGTAACATTATCATCTTCTTTGAACCCCCCGAAATGCTACCTACTACTTAGGCCTTGAATTGATCAGGAAATGGATTTTGTGTGTTAACTACTACATTTCATTCAAAGTTCCAACAAAGCATGACCTATAAACCTCGATGTATGCAGGTTTTCGACATCAATAGAATGATATCAACCAACGATGCTCCTACATTGTCTATTGTACTATACGATCTACGCAGGGCCTAGGGAATGGATGGCAATGAGACCATACTAGCCTACAACATTCCCCGAATATCACCGGCGTGAGCGGCAGATTATTTTATGCTATAGCTTTCAACCGCGCCGCTCGTCAGCAGATACAAGTTCCTGATACTAGCATCTATGGCCACTGACTGGTCCCGATTGGCATATGGCACTGAACCATCTTCCCGTTAATTACAATAGTGGGCCATCACGCATACCCTGGGGCTGAGTCGATCTTCGGTGCCTTCTGCAAATCCCGATCTCCTTTCCAATGTGGGGCTGCTTGGCTTACTCTTATTCACGTGTATCATAGCGCAAGTGGCTTCCCGATGTATCCGTTACTGGGTTCTGTAGACGATCAATCAAGCCAGGTAGTTCTTCTTCAAAAGAGAATTGTGAGCTCTAGGCCCAAGCAGAAGCGCCTGGTGTTAGTAAATGTTGGTAACGCAACAACTACTTTCGCATTCTCTTGAGATACTCACGATCACAAACCCCTGTATGAAGCTGCTAGGTCTAGCCAAGTATGTCATCTGCGACCAGAATATCTGCGTTGCTAGCCACAGGTACTCCCGTCCATGTTACATAATAATCGGGGTTTGAACAGTGATCTACAGGGCGATACTACTGTGGGGAAGGTGTGTCTATTGTACTACGTATATTGATGCAAGATTGTGATTCAATTTGCATCAAAAGTTGCCACAATACCCTAGTTACCACAATAATGTAGTTATCACACCGAGAAAAAGAAATGCCAATTCGGGATACAATTATCCGATAGCTACAATCTAAGGTATATATAGCCCCTGCTTCCCCTACTCACAACATATGAACCAACTCAACATCTCAAAGAATTATCCCAGCACAGTACTCTCCTCAAGCAACGTCTCTATGAGAACACCCAGTTCGATCCTACATCTACGACAATGAAGCTCTTATCCACCCTCGTCGCCAGCACCCTTGCCCTGGCAGTCTCAGTCCAGGCTACCGACTGCACTGAAGGCATGAAGTACTGCAAAAGTGTCTTGGAAGACATCGGTAAGATGATCCTGTTTATAAGCCATTTATTGTGAGAGTCTGTTAACAAATTCGACATTGTTTAGACTACACCAAGTATTCCACCCTGATCCCGCAGGCTATAGCAGCGGCCGGCTTCAACCAGGACGCTCTTCCTCCTCCCCTTATGTTAGACCGCCCCTCATTCCTGTTTGCATGTGGCAGTGGTGGATCGATCACTGCTGAGAGAGAATGCACCTTTGGGTGTAACAATGCAGGTGCTGGGCACAACGATTACTGTACTATCTGAGTATGTCTCGCATTGGCCTTTGGCATGGCATCGTTTGTGTCATGGTGGCGGTGGTGGTGTTGATGGTGCGGTAGCAGATGGGCTCAGTGTTCTCCTGTTGCGAGTGTTCTTTGTACTCTAGGCATAGTGTGCTTAGAGACAATGTCAAGATGTCAAATTACGCTGTACTTAGGCCTCTTATGTCGGAACACTGTTAGTATCAGGCACTATGCATATGGTCGTTAAGCAGCCGGGTAGAACAGAGAAGCAATTCTTTGTCAACTACAATTTGCTTTTTTGTCAATCATCGACGCATCTTACGCGAGAGCGGCAGTTTACCTCACAGAAAATTGGTTAATATAGACACCAGGTGACTTGGTAAATAGCAAGCAGATGTGTACTGAGATGAAGTAGCCGGAAGTGCCATAGAAGTGAGATACTCAAATTGAAGCATCTCCTGAGAATATATGTGCACTGCGTATGGTGAATAATAAACTACGAAACTGGCGAGCCAGATAGTGAATAGTGACTGCATCGTAGCTAGCAATTGCTATATAACGGCTGCCTCAGATCCTCTGTCTCTTTTTGTGGAATATTTTTAGTATAATCAAGAGCCCTGGACTTTCCTGCGGGTATTAAAGTTGCATAATATTCCATCCACTTAGTTGGAAACTGTCCAACATCTTCGTCTAATTAATCTAGCCTTACACCATCGCGCTTTCGGCTCTGGGCCGAATTTGCGGAGCCCCGTTCACTACTTATCAATGATGTGCCATGGATCTTATGTGCTATAATCGAAGCTGAGACAGCTCCTCGAGAGCCGGGCTGTGTATTGATGAATGAGCATCGAGTAATAGCTAAAACTCCCCAAAACTTATCACTGCTTATGGGTCACGTTGATTAGCCCGAGGAGCGGGTTTGCTGCTCCCAGAACGAAAGGGGTACTAAGTACTCTTGTATTGCTCCTATGATATCGAATCGGTGATGGTAGAAACCTTCATTCTGGCATCCCGGATGGGTCACTAAACTAAGATTGGATCTGCTCTTCTTCATACTTTCAAACTTTTGTTTATGTTGCAGAAGCACACACGGCATCAAAGCCTGATGCACAGCTAGGCGGATAATGAAACACACCCTTCGAGGATTATTTAGGATTCTGCTCCGACCAACCTATAAGAGCAATGGGTATAGGCGAAGGCATAAATAAGCACAACAACGCGATCAACCGCGGAGAAAGTCTCGCTACGAGAGTGTCTTTTCGCGACTGTTATGAGGGCATTGGATGAGTAGGATGACCTCTATAGAGTATATCTCGCGGACAAGCTGGTAAGACTATTCTTCATAAGATTTTTATTCCTGCTAACATAACTTGTCAGATTGATAAAGGCTTTACTTCTCAAGCGATGTCAAGGTTGCTGCGTTGAAATCTGACTAGATGTGTATAGGCTGCCTGTTGACTCTTCCGAAAATCTTATCACTAGACTTCTCGCTAGTTCTTTGGACATATGCAGTCGTATTAGACAAAATAAGCAGAGCAGTCTCCACTTTGGTACGGCGGCTGGGGCCCAGAATACTCAGACTTGAAGGGTTGTATGAGAGCAGGCACACCCATTGTTCGGAATAAGATTTGCGCCCCCTCCCCCACCATCCATTTTCCCGGAGTATAGCGGGTGCAACTGATAGGGTATCGGATACCCCCAGAAGGGGCGCCTGGTGGCAAAGAGCAACAAGGGATAGTGGTTGCTTGTCGCAGTGGCTCGTAATGGCTAGAAGTTGGAATGCGACTGTGTTCAGGTAAAGGATTTCAAGATACACCATATTTGTTGCCTTTTTACCCCTCTATCCAAGTAACGGCGATGGCAACGATCAACCGGCGCTTTGACCCTACACCTCCCCCATCTGACTTCCAACGTTGGCAATGCTAAATTCTATCAACCGGAGCATCCCTTTAGGGCTAAAAATATAATCAATCTCACCTAAATTGTAGTCTGAATTCATTTCAAATCCCAACAATCCTATTCAGGCTGAGTAATCTAACGCCGCCCAAAAGGGAGGGCTGAAGACCGGCTTCCCTGCCACCAATGGCAAGTCTAGGGGATAATAATACCGAGGCCGTTGTTCCACTTCAGCTGCAGTAGCTCAGTGTGTTATCACGATGGTGGCGCATCTGCACCCCTTCCATCCAATCCCTTTCTGCAGGATTATGTTGGAATATGCAGCAGCAGGAACTACTAGCTGCTGGTGTCCCCGATTTCCCCGCCCGGTTGCCCTGCTTTGCCTCCAGCTTCAGCCATCGCTGCAGACACATGTTCTCAATGCTCCTCCCACATTCTAGTCCTTTTCTATTCTTCCTCACTGGATTTCATAGCTTTGGACTGCAACCATGTTGTCCCTTGTTAGCCTTCTTGTTGGATTCGCGTCCATTTACTTTCTCTATGTCTTTCTTGGACCTAAGAAAACATCTGCGCCACTGCCCCCAGGGCCTCCTCCAAAGCCCATCATCGGCAATATTAAAGACCTTCCGCCGCCCGGTTCAAAGGACTGGCAGCATTGGTTGGATCATAAGGAGAAATATGGTATAATCCCCATCAAATATTTCCTGGAACCTGTGCCATGATGATACTGAGATTATACTTCAGGTCCAATCAGCTCCATCACTGTCTTCGGACAGACTCTTGTTGTCCTGAATGATGCCGATATGGCTCTGGAGATGTTGGAAAAGCGTTCTGCAAAACACTCCTCCCGACCCCATCTTCCCATCGCAGAGTTGTATGTTCCACCAATTAATCTACCCTTCAGTAGCAACAAAGGCGACTAAGCTTCACACCAAGATCCGGATGGGACAAAACACTAGGTCTTCTCCCCTACAACAATCGGTTTCGCGCCTACCGCAAAGCTACGTACCGCGAACTCGGTTCGGCCAACGCAGCAGGTAAATTCGATGGGATCGTCGATAAAGAAGTTACTCGGTTCCTTCTGCGCGTGATACAATCACCGAATAACTTGGTTGATCATCTTCGCAAGTAAGTTTCTACCCTGCAAAAAGTTGCTATATGTCTAATGATACCATAGAGAGTCTGGTGCGATCATCCTGCGGATCGGATACGGATATACCATCGAGCCACATGCGAGAGATCCCCTGGTTGACCTGGTCGACAAGGCTATGGACGACTTCTCCCAAGTCGTTCTCCCAGGTGCTTGGCTGGTTAATTTCGTTCCTTTCCGTTAGTCTGCCAGTATCCCTTTAATGACTCAGACGTTAACTTTCGCAGTAAAATACCTTCCCACCTGGTTCCCCGGAGGAAAGGAAAACCAGACAGCCAAGGAATACAAGGACAGACTGGCCATCATGCACGACAAGACATACGACTTCGTAAAGAACCAAATGGCCAAAGGTACACATCAGCCATCGTATGTCTCCAGTCTACTGGAGAAAGACACTGTTCTTCCAGGCTCGGAAGAGGAAATCGTGGTCAAGTATTCTGCTGGAGCTTTATACGGAGGTGGTGCTGATACGGTGCGTCTCGATCCTCCCAATAATCACTATATCTCCGCTAACCACGCATAGACCGTCTCCGCTTTATCATGCTTCTTCATGGCCATGGCCCTCAACCCAACCGTCCAAAAGAAGGCGCAAGAAGAAATCGATCAGGTCGTAGGAACCTCTCGACTGCCCGACCTCTCCGACCAGAATAATCTCCCCTACGTCAACGCCGTGTTCCAAGAAGTGTTCAGATGGCACCCCGTCACCCCCCTTAGTGTAACCCATGCCTCTAGTGAGGAAGACATCTTCAACGGCTACCTTATTCCCAAGGGCACCATCATCGTTCCCAACGTCTGGTACGCAACCTCCCTTCCTTCTTCCCATTCTCTCCAACTAATACCTGACCAAAACCAGGGCCTTCACCCACGACCCCACCAACTACAACAACCCCGAAGCATTCAACCCCGACCGCTTCCTCGGCGCCACCCCCGAGCCAGACCCCCGACTATACGCCTTCGGATTCGGCCGCCGCATCTGTCCCGGTCGCTTGCTCGCTGAGAAAAGCATTTTTCTCACCGTGGCACGAGCACTGGCGGTACTGGATATTCGAAAGAAGGTACGAGATGGTAAGGAAGTGCCTATTCGGGTGGAGTTTTCTTCAGGGACCATTAGCCATCCTGTTCCATTCGAGGTGGATCTGAAGCCGAGGAGTAAGGGGCATGAGGACTTGGTGAGGGCCGTGGAGAGGGAGTTTCCGTGGGAGGCGAGTCATGCGAAGGAGTTGGGGATTTGAGGGCATGTAGAGATGGAATGCTTGACGGAGGTATAGTGGCGGGATGTGGCGAAGTGTGTGAGGAATATTTTGTCTGCTTAGACGGTGAGGCACATAACACGTCGGGTAGGATCGGTTCAACGCGATCAGGACTGCCAAGACAGTCAGTATACATGAATAAATGAACACGATCGCGTCTATCTGGAGCTAAGTAGAACGCGTATGCTGTACCCTGTTGCACGCATAATGCAACCATAAACGAGATAAAAATAAATCAAGAGCAGCTGCTTGCTGTCCCTTACACAGAGTTCCATTGGTCCCATTCTCCGATTTAACGGAACGGACCGACCGGATCCATTTTCCGTGTGATCCGGTCGCAATTATGTGGGTAAATGTATTATTGAGATGCAGACGCAAGGGCTTCACTCGCTGAAGAATTTGTGGCTGATAGTGATTTCCAGGTTGTTGAGATTAGCAGGGTATCTAGATGTTTGTTTTGTAGAAATGGGTGAGGGAGGGTTAGGGTAGAATGGAGAAAGATTTAGCCAGAGGAGCCAAAACGGGGCCGGGCGGGAAAAAAAAAGAAATTGCCTCCACGCGGGATTGAACCACGGACCTCTTGATAACCGTAAAGGATACAAGTCAAGCGCTCTACCACTGAGCTATAAAGGCGATTCTTGTCAATTTTGAGCAGAGTAAACCTTTATGTAGGGGAGCTATACTGAAACCTGTCAATCGACTGGTCGGTCTTCCATGAACATATTTACGGAATTGTGGTACATTGTCTTTTACAATAAATCATAAAATGCTTATAAGAGTATACTGAAAGAGAAATCACACCTAGTAATCTGCTATACTTATGGTCTAGTCCCGGTGCCTAGACGTCCGAGGGCTGAGTCTCACTACCTCATGGTATGTCGTCCGCCTCGTCGAAGGATCGTAATGTCATGCTCCAAATATAGATGAGTGAACCACCAGCAATGGTGAATGTCAGCCGACCATGATAAACACCGAATAGCTGAAAGGCTCGACATACTCCTCAAAATGACTCCATCCAACACACCGTGGGTGATGCGTCGGCTACCGAGCTACTAATAGCCCGGATATGTCGCACTCAATAGCAACAATTCGTCCGTGCGGATACCTGCCGGGCCTAAAGCAGTGACTAACAAGTAAACTGGACTTAATACGTCATATTATCTTGTCAAGCCTGCATTCAGGGTCCTGGGACAGTACAGGACAGCCTCTTACCCGTCAGCTTACTGGGGTCCCCGGCTGGCTGCCTTGCATATAAGTCAGGTCATATGAGGAGCCCCGACATATGACTTGGCATAAAATAAGCTTTGAATCAAGCTCATTGTAATAGTGTAAGTTATTTCATGGTGTCGATGGAGGTCTCACACTGGTCTTTCGAAACTTTTATTGCTAGTTCTTTTTCTCCTGAATAGAAATATATCCGCCTGTCATCACTGCAAGGAAGTTAGCACCTTGAATCCAGCATACTAGAGTAGAGTATATGCAGTCTCGCTTAGATTGGCTTCTATAATATAATCTTTAATTCTATTTTTATGTAGATACATCACATATCCCCAATGTTGGGAATACTGTTGTGTACCAAAAGCCTTTTATACTATCACTCTTATTGGTCGCAAATACGCATGGGAGGCCTGATGTCTCAGAGCCGTGGCGGAGCCTTACCAACGATATGCCGCGACCCTCTTCAAAGTGGCTGACTGAGGTGCCTGAAAAAAGCAAGTAGTACAATAGTTCTCATGCAATAGTTGTTCTATTTGTAGTGCTAGCGACTGGTAAATATATAAAGACCCATTCTCCCGACCGATGTCAAGTTTCATCATTACTTACCAACTCTTCTTCCGAATTCACAACACTTTTGAACTCTTATTCCGATAATTACATTGACTACACATCCGCCATGAAATCCATCCTCTCCCTCGCCCTCTATACAGCTACCGCCCTAGCCCAGGGCATCTACATCGAGTCCCCCGCCGCCGGCACGGAGCTGAAAGCCGGAGAAACAGTAACCGTGCAGATCGGCCGTCCGGTACGTCCATCCCACTCTCCACCTTTGCAATCTTTCCCATCTATCCCACGACTACACCATACTTACCCCCTCACTCATGCTTGGTTTCTTGGAATAGGGATTTCCGGAAAACATCGCCGAGATCGGCATCGCCATCGGTATCGAATCCTGCTCCGGGTCCTCGGGATGCACTGCCCCCGACTCGGCTATCGGAAATCTCCTATACAGCGGCCCCTATGATCCGCAGTCCAACGGACCTCCTTACCCGTATGAGAACATCACTGTCACGGTGCCGGATGTGACGGGCCCTGCGCAGATTGGGGTTGTTAGACCGTATTTGGTGGGGGTAAGTTCGATTCTTGTTAATTTGTAGGGAAGGTTTGATGGTGGTTTGCTGATGTGTGTAGCTTTCGTATGAGTTTGTTGTGGGGACTGCGGTGACGAATGTTACGATTGTGTAAGGGTGGATGGCTGGAGTGGGTTTGTGGTAGACGATAGATGGTTGGGTTGGTGGTAGGTGGGAAGGAATACATTACTGCCTATTTTCTGAAACACTGTAGTATTGTCCCGTGTTGTTCTATTATAGAAGAATGAAGAAAGTAGGTACCCGTGCTCACCAGCACAACTTATCCAACACATCTTATTTCAATCAATCCGGCATGTCTAGCCTGTACACGCTGCTCAGCGTGAATGAAGCCTTGTGCGGCACTTGGACCTGCCGCAGAAGTGTACATATTTTGATCAAAAGTGAAATATGAAACGGAAGAAAGAGGAAGACCAGGAGATCAAGACAAAATACAGAAAAAAAGGAAACATAACCACAAGTGAAGATAACTTGGTTTTGCAGGAGTTGAAGGATATTCTTTCTCCTGGGGTTCTGTCAGCATATCATACATCTTTCAATGCATCTGGATCAAACCAAACGAAGTAAACTCGGCCGGATTGAGCCCCAATTATAAGAGCATTCTCCCGATTTGCCCATGCATTGTCAAATTCGTTGTTTCGGTATTCTGGAGGCAACCAAATACTTTTCTTATTACCAAGAATAACCCAGTCGTCCTCAACAGAGATCTTGCACTTGGCAGACATGTCTTGTTTTGTAGGATTGGTGGGAAGTATACTTCGAATGCGAGGATCATAGATGCCACCAGTCTGTTCAGGGTGTCCTGTTTGTGTATTCCATATTCGAAATGTGTTTTTCCCGAAATCGGTAGCCAGCACTTGGTTTTCCGCAAAGAAACGGACCAGACATAGCATTTTACTACCATGGTCGAATTTCCATTTCTGTTGCCCGTTCTCGGTATTCCATACTCTGACTGTCCGATCAGATGAACTAGAGGCGAGTAGCTTGCTGCTTGGAGAGAAGGCAGCTGCTGTCACTTCGTCGTGGTGGCCTTTGAGGGTTCGCACCAATCTCCCATTCTCTGCACTCCATAATTTGACTGTGAAGTCCAAAGAGTATGTTGCCACCAACCGACCATCTGGTGAAAGTATCACACCTTCTATTGGCTCTGAGTGATAATCCATGCTTGGCTCCTCCCTCCCGGGGGCCACCTTCCATAGCTTGACTGTATTATCATATGACCCCGATGCCACCAACTGGCCATCAGGTGAGAAGGCAACAGTTGTAGCATGGTTAACATGACCCTTTAGTGTTTGTTCTAGCGTTCCAGATTTTGTGCTCCACAGTTGAACGGAGTTTTGCAATGGTCCTGCAGAGATGAGATTGCTATCCGGGGAAAACACGGTCAAATCAAGCACATGTTCGTCATGAATTGTGTGCTTGATATTCCAAGTCGCAGTGTCCCACAGTGTGATAGTTCTATCATCTGAGGTACAGGCCAACATCCGGTTGTCAAGGGAAAATGCCGTATTCGTGATCTTGCCCAAGTGAGCGAGCTCGTGCACTATAGTATCGCTCTCTATATTCACCAAAACCACTGTATTAGGAGCATAGGCGCGTATTGTAGCTGCTAACAATCCCTGACCATTTAGAGAAATGGCCGTGGGCGCGAGCGATGACGTTGAGCCCGAGGGTCGCCATTCCCACCTAAGTCTCCACGTCCCCTTCTCCCACACCTTCACAACACCATTGAACGATGCAGACCCCAATAGCTGGTTATTCAGAGAGAACATCAGATGAGCGATGTCTCCAGATTGCTCGAGTCTTCCTGTTTCACGCCATGTGATTGTATTCCATAGCCTGATACTACCATCACTCAACCCAGAAGCTAGTAGCTTGTTGTCTGGTGAAAACGCCACAGCTCTAACCCAACTTGGATGATCAAGTATCTTTTGTAAATTCCCTGTGAACGAGTCCCAGACTTTGACCATTTTATCTGAAGAGCCCGATGCCACCAGCTGTCCATCTGTAGAGAATGCAACAGAGCATACCCGATTTGAATGCTCAAGTGTTTGGAGCAGCGCACCCCATTCCATATCAGTGCCAACTGTTCGTAGGATCCATTTGCAGACTTTCTTTCGGAACATGCACCTGATAATACTTCTCTCCGGCGAGAATATAAGACAGGAGACATAGAGCTGGAGAGGCGCTGCGGTCGCAATTGGCAGGTTCTGCAATATGAATCTTTCGGCGTCCATTAGAAAGTCCAACAGTACCGGCACGTTCTTAGTCTGGTTGAATATTAGCTTAAGTACAGGCTCGCTCAGACCCACTGGCTTACTTCTGAACTGGATTTCAATTGACCGACAAGCCTCACAATGTCGGGAAACAGCCCCAGCAAACCCATTGCCTCTAGCCAGTGAAGAAAGTGTGTGTTGAAGAACGAAAGAATATCCTCCATGTCTGTGGACGTGCAGCCACTTTGAACTAGATGATAGACCCAGTAGCGACATGCATACCGAATACAATTCAAAGGGTCTGGATTGGGGATTTGCACATCTTGTATCGCAATTCCGTAATGAGACACGCCATATATGTTTTGCTTCAAGTTCTTTCTCAAACCATGGAGGGCTCTCTTATACAGTTGGTGATGAAGCGTGGCCGACGAGACATTGTAGAGTCTTCGATAATGCTTTTGCAGATAATCTTGCGCTGATTGGTGGACCAGGTACACGGTATTGTTTCGAATGGTCAGAAAGGACCGACATTCCTGGACGACTGCTTCCGCTGTATCTTCACCCTCTGGAAGTTCTGCGAGAATTTCAATCTCGGACAAGGCCAGGGGATCTCTAGCAACCATAGCAGCCATGAGGACATTCCTGCAGCATGATGACATAATTTCGGAGTTTAAATTGGCCAATCTATCTAGCAGGTAGCCATAGAGGTCTTCCAAATCTTTTGGAATTTTGTCGACAATTTCGGCCCACATAAATTCGTGGGAGTTAATGAGCTCTCTGCAGACTAATGACACCCAGATGTAAGTGTTGCTTGCTTCAGCTTTCAATTTAGCAGCTAGTTCCTCGACACGATTCTTCTTACGTGCCTTATGCCTAAGCTGAACCATCTTGATATCAATATATCTGTCGATAGAGTGCGACATGTCATGTCCATCGAGCTTCAGAAGACTGTGTGTGGGCAGAGTGGGGTCCTGCACACTTGCTGGTATTTCTGGCAGTGGCCGGCTGGAGACGAGCCACTTTATATTGAGCAGCTCTTCTGCCGAGGACGCATCATCGATGAATCTAGTCAGTAGTTCTCTGCTTTTCTCCTCGCATTCATCCATGGCATCAATGATAATGATGGCTCGTTTCAAGCATTTATCCCCCAGCATCTTTCTGAGGATGTCACGTAGAGTTGTGAACGCATTTTTATCCGTAAGCAGCCTGCTTGCCGAATGAAAGTATTCCTTCTGAATGTGTGAAATCAGGAGTGGTTGTTCCAGAAGCAACAGCCATATTAGACTGCGTAGAACCGCAACGCCGTTGTTGGCTTGGTCATTCGTGGCTTGACAGAAAAAATATAGAATCAACGGACGTTCTGTATCAACAAGTCCACGAGAAATCAGATCTTTTATGATGCCGATCAAGAGCATCGTCTTTCCAGTTCCTGCCTGACCACTAACCCACAAACGTGCAGGTGTGATATGATCCCACTTGCTGAACTGTCTGTATTCATTCGTGAGAAAAATCCATGTATACAGCTCTTCTATGATGCTCTCATTTCGGGCTTGTATATCTCCAATCTCAGCTCGAGGGTCAATCCAGCGGAGGGACTACAGACAGTTGCGGTATTCGTCTAAGTCTTTTTGGTGCTCACTGGCTATAGTTATCTGTCTGATCTGGTCCTTAATATGTTCTTGGTTATAGAGGGTGAAGTCGCTTTGAAGCACCTTTTCTGCATCTTTGACAGCATTCAGGTTCCCGCTCCAATCATCCAAATCGAGAAAGCTCCGGAGCAGAACGAGAAGTTGACTTTTGTAATAGAAGCAGACGCTCTTGATTTGGTAGAAAAGCATTGACTCGTAGAGATCAACAATTCTAGCTTCGAGACTGTGATTCATCTCTCCCAGTGATGTATTGTTCTTGATATTCTGGTCACTCAACAGCTTGTCTACAGCTTTTGAATACCAGCTCATTCGGGAAACAACGTACGCCACTCCATTATACAGATCTGCTGCTGCTTTGACTGGCCTGATCAAAATCTAATCAGTCAACATGGATCCAGAACATGAGCTGAATATACTTACATCAATTGTGGAAGAAATCACTGCCCACGGAAGTGCGGTCTGTGGGATGCTTTGTAATGGAATGTCAAGGAATGCCTTTACTTGCGTTAAAACACCGGAAACATCATTCATTGTCTCCATGACATTTTTATTATCTTCAATCCTTTTCAGGGCCCTTGCGACTATCGCTCGCATTCGTTCTTCTTCCAAATCTAAGCGAGGACTAATACCTTCACCAGCTGCATCAGAGATGGGCGTTTCGAGAAAGACCGCCAACACCAATTTTTCGTATGCTTGCAGATACTTTGCCTTTTTTGGATCCTGCGATATCTTATTGTAGGCTTTGTTCCATAGGGTATTGTGGATGGTGGTCAAACATTCTGTCGAGGCCACCTTCTGGTTAGAATGATCAAGAACGTTTTCGTTCGCTTGTGGCTTTTCTTGTTGCGTGGCCCCGCTAGGAGGGACATGCCCATTCTCTTCCACAACTTTTGCAGTGTCATGATATTCAGATTCCCCTTGAGTCGGGGAAGTCGAATCATTAGTCGTGTGGGGACCTTCGGCCTGAGTGCTTTGCTTTCTCGGCTTTCCTCGAAATGCTTCCAATTTCTGACGGACCCTTGCTCGAAATCCTGTCTTTATTGAAGAATACATCTTATTTCAAATTTGATGCCATAGTGGAAATAATGTGGAAGCGTAGCATTTTTCGAGCTAAAAAGGTGGGCGAAACCGCAATCTCAGGGTTTCCAGCCACGCTATATCGAACCCCTGTCCGTGGATTATACGTGGGTTCATTTCAGTGGCTATTTGTGACGCTATTGCGGGATCTTAGGTGTCTAGATCCATTTAAACTCCACCGGATGGGCGAATCGGAGACTGTTAGCCCGTTACTTCCATCGGATTAACTGTTGTTAGCGGCCATTGTTTCTCCCATCTGTCTATCTCAGCGCCCAGTCAGCCCAAGGAAAAAAATAAAGGCTTGGCTCTCCAGGGTTTCTTGTTATATGTAACTTTCTTTAATCCTCTTTTATGTCCTGAGCTTATCGATTCTGATGAGTTATAAGCATATACTTGATGTTATTTACTAGAATATCCGCTTGTAGTTTTCTCTTTCTCCATGTCCTTTTTCCCTTTTTTCCTTTTTCTCTTTTTTTCTTTTCGTTTCTTCTCCCTTTCATGTTTGGCGTGTCCATTCCTTGATGTTGGACATTCGGACAATCTTTATAATCCTGACTGTTAGTCCATGATCATATTTAATAGCAAATTAGGGAATCACTTACATATGGTTCTCATTTCCGTCATGTTATCTTTCTCTCGCTGTTGAAGTGAATATGAATACGCATATATGAATAGATCAGATATAAATTTTTCTTAAATACACTCCATCCTATCTCTAAAGAGTTCAGAAACTGCCCTGCGCTCTTCCATACCTAAATACATAAACAGGAAACGAAGACGGACCGTTATTCAAACCAGCCTACAGAAATCCCCTATCACCTCCTTTCACTAAACACAACTTCCAGCTCCCCCAAATTCGCGACAAATGTATCTCTAGTCTCCTCCCTAAACCTCCTTCCATCCTCCCCGTCCGCCAACCGCACATCAAACCTCCCAAACAGCATCGCCACCACAACCCTCAACTCAATATACGCCAACCCCTTCCCAACACAGCTATACGCGCCACCCACGAACGGGAAATATGCCGCTTTATTCATGATCCAATCTGGCTTCTCGTCCGTCCAGCGCTCGGGGACGAACTCTTCCGGGTTTCGATAGTACCGGGGATCGTTCTGGACGGGTAGAATCGGCACACTGACTATTGTATCTCCCGGGATGAAGGTGAAGGTACCCTTATCATTGGGGATGTGGATGCCTTCTGGTGGTGTCTTGCGCTGGATGCCACCGTGCACTGGTGGCTGTATGCGGAGGGCTTCGCTGACGCAGGCGTTTAGGTAGGGAAGGGAGGATATGGAGCGGTAGTAGGTGTCTTCGGGAGATTCGGTGGGGGGTGTTGATTCTGTTTGGCGCTTTCCTGCTGCGGAGTCGAGTTCGGCTTGGAGCTTTCGTTGGATGGATGGGTTGAGGGCCAGGTGGTAGATTATGACACTCATTGTGACGGAGCTGGTGTCTCTGTTCGTAGTTGATTAATTAGATGTCAATGACAAATTGAATGAATGGTGGTGTGACTCACCCTCCAGCAATTACAAGCAGCTCTCCCTCACTATACAACGCCTTCTTAGATAAATCGCGCATAGACGGCAGCATCCTCGTCATAATATCCTCCCCAGGCACTTCATTTATTTCTTCTTGCTGCCGCTTCTCCTGGATACGATCCTGGATCCAATTTCCATACTCTCGAATAGCACTACCAGCGCCGGGCAGGCTCATCAACAAGCTGATAAGCCACGGCGTGTGAACCATGACATGCTGGCCATTTCGCATGTTCTTGACGAAGCTAAGACCAGAGTTCAACTCCCACGTCTCGATATTATTGAAGGAATAGCCCCAGCCGACGACTCCCATGATATCGTAGCTGAGAAGCGACATGGTACTGGGGACAGAGAGCGGTTGGTTGACACGGTGAGCCAAAGCATCGAGGAACTTTTCCGTTGTGCGGACGACCATCGGTTGGTAGGATTTCAGTGCTGTTATTTCAGTGAGCACGATGTGACACACCCAGGAGGACATGATCACCAACCTCTTCCACTAAACACCTTATCCCAAATAGCCTTCCTCCGCTGCGAGTGCACGGCTGGATCCCGCATATGAAACACCGCATAGTCATGTGTGAAGTCACCTGAACCCTTTAGACGATCATACCACGGGCCACGGGTACATTTGCTTGAAGGTCCATAGATGACGTCGATGGCTTCAGCCGACAGGATGCTAAGTTCCTGGGGCCCTGTTCGGACAATATCCCCGTACTGTCTGTGTAGGTTCCATACGCGCTCGAAGTTGCGGTTTTTCTCGAGGTTCTCGTATCCGGTCACGAACTTGGAGAGTTTGAGAGAGAATGGGCCTGGGAAGTGATGTAGACGATGGAAGAAGGCGCGGTAGGTTAGGATCGAGGCGAAGAGGGAGACATAGAAGCAGATGTTTAGTATGGACACATTACCGATGCCTAGAAGCCATGCATAGATGCTTCTCCAACTTCCATGCTTGTTGACTGTCGTGAGTAGGGCTAGGGTATTCACGATCAGGTTGGCATAGACCCAAGCACGGCCCTCCTTGGCGCCGCGCTCTCCGCGTGACCAGTAGAAAATATGGGCACTGATGCCGGCAGCTGCTAGGAGAGGGCCTTTCTCCTTTACAGTGTCCAAAAGATCAAGGAACAAGGCCATTCTGTCTTAGTCTGGGATTCTCCGAAGGCATTGTGCTTACTACTTATAAATGCCTCTTCTCTTGGCAGGATGTGGGGATCATGAGTGCCAAGAGAAACATACCAATAAAGACCCTTTATTGCAATTTCGGTTCGACTTTCTTCTCGGCATTTGCGAGACAGATCATCAATCCATATTGAATGTTTGTAGGCTATACCCTTTCGGGAGTCGGTTGCGACATTGCTGATTGGCTGCTCCGCCTAATCTTCAGTATCCACCATTTGTTTTGAAGTCAATGCACGCAATGCCGGTGGAGTGGGACATTACTTTCCACAACAGATGATTCGTTCTAATATGCGTCAGGCGGTTGGAAATATCTAAAGGGAATCAACGCTCTTACTGTCGGGATTTCAACAGAGGTCAGTCAGCCGTAATGTGTACTGCGACTCAGTGCTTGATCATTGAGAATGGATCAATGGAAACAGACGCCCGAATGGTGGCTAGAGATGGAATGAGAATATGTTATCACACTTGCTGTACTTTGACTTAGTAACATCAGTATATAACTTTGAAGTTTTTAGAGATCACTTTACATTCCCTAACCTCATATATACACGTGTTGTATGAGGCATTTTTTATAGGGCTCGGAATAGGATCCCTGGCATATGACTCAGACTGCAAGTTATCGTATCTATCAAATCCAAGAAGTAAGATAAATGAAACTAGTCAGGCGAGGTCCAAAAGAGAGGGAGGAGTAATAACGTCCCTTATACTTCTGCATCATCGGCTGCGCTTGGTCCCGCTTTTGATCAGAGGGTGGTGGTCAGATTAAAGTCATACAGACAAGCTTTCTGTGCTGATCAACTTATTGCTTGAATAAGATCTGGGAAGATACTGCCAACCGAGACTTCTGAAGGATAATATTTCTAATAGAACGCAGGTCGCTCGAGGTGAGACACGGTTTGGCGTGATATCTCACATTCTTGCACAAAAGCCGGACGTAGTAGCGTGATAATGCGCTACTGTTTGTTTGGACTCAGCTTTCACACAATCCTGCGGACTTTTCCATGATTTGCTAACGACCTCTTCTGTACCTATATATAAAAAGCTTTATAAGTCATCAAGGTATTATACATCCAAACCTAACGCCGTTCAAACTGTCAGAAACACCAAAAACACCACAAGATGCGCCCCAATCATCCTATATACATCTCGTTTCCGAGACGCCAATAATAGAACAAAAACAAAAGGAAAATAATGAAAAGTGAAAGCCATCACACCGCCTGCCTTACATCAGCACGGTACGCCTGCTTCAAACTCCCCAACGAAAGTTCATCGGCGGACCTTTCCTCCGGGAGCCTCTGTGTCTCCTCATGATCGATCGCCGACCAACCGCGGTCCGCCCGACTGCGCGTCCCCTTCTGCGTCGACATTTTATAAGTCCCAGCCGTGGGGTCCATCTTCGAGTTTGCCTGGGTAGCGTTCGACTTGAATATCTTCGAGACCAGCGGGCGCATGGAGGGCATGCAGGCCGTTATCATGGCGACGCAGATTTCGACGGAGGTGCAGTCGATGGCGCCTTGCAGGTCCCAGCTGGAGTCGGCGGAGTTGAGGGCTTGAGCTTCGATGCAGCGGAGAATGGAGGCGATGCAGGTTCTGATGTTATATAAAATTAGCGTCATCATCTTTGGGCGGGATGGGAAAGAACGGACCCAAACCCAAGAGCAAAGACAGACGCCAGCATGCGTTTCTTGCGACTGCTCATGTGTAGTTGATGGATAACAGAGAGGGGCATGCTCAGGATGATAAAGTCAGTGACGACGTTTGTCACGCCGCTGAATACCACGACGGCGTAGTAATCAATGCAGGTGGCGGACACGGAAGGATCCCAGGCGTGAGAGAGAGGAACACATTGTAGCCAGGTGGCGAGCACGCTGCAGAAGTTGTACGCAACCACGACAAAGGCCATGAACCAGGTCATGAGGCGGAACCATCGCTGTGGGAAGATCCGACCGTAGAATGTTAGGATGGAGAGCTTGGTGAAGCAGATGGCGAGACAGTAGAAGCACTCGGCGATGGTTATAGACTGTGTGTCTGTATATTAGCGTTGTGTGAGGGTGGGGTGGGTGATAGAATTCAGTTTAGCTCACCAATGTTAAACCCTTCGCATCGGTTACATAGACAATGTGCTTTCCCATGCCAAAGTGGATAGTTATGTAGATTGAGACGCTGAATGCAACGTTGAAGAACTACCAGCCAGAAAAGGTGAGCTTGAGTTCCCCGAACTCGCTGTATTGCCAAGCCCAATGGGCCTTACCAATCCTACTATGATAA